AAGCCTAAGCCTAGGCCTAAGCCTAAGCATAAGCCTAAGCCTAAATCTAAGCGTAAATCTAAGCCTAAGCCTAAACCTAAGCCAAAGCCTAAGCTTAACTCTAAGCAGAAGCCAAATCTTAAGCTCAAGCATAAGTTTAAGTTTAAGATTTTGGCACAATTTAAGGCTACATATGTCCGACCCTAACTATACAGAAAGCTTATTATTCTTTTCTCATTCCCCTACCCTCAGTCACTATTCCTCAATATTCTTCTTCATCTAATGTCTTTTTATGGAAGAACAGCTGCCGTCTGAAGACATTCCTCTTTTTTGGCATTTTTCTACATTTTTTCTTACGTAACAGGATGTGTGGGGGGGGAGGTTGTTCTAGACTGTTATTATTCACAATGAAGTGTAGCATTTTGTTTTTTGTTGGCTGGACAGATATTTGAGGAATATTAGGGAATTTTTGTGTTTTTTGAAGTGGCAAGGCGGTAAATAATCTTTTTTTGAAGAGGAGGGGGCAGGGGTAGGCTTAGGGGAAGCAATATGAGAGAGAAGAAGAAAGTGGATAAAGGGAGGAAGAGGGAATGGCGGTTCATTTTTTTACATTTACTATACTTTATTTTTTAAATGTTGCCATTTTTCATTTTTTGCATTGTGCAAACCCCAAAATTTAAAAATCTGCACAGTGCAGTCAAAATTTTTCTTTTTTTCATAACTTTTTTTAAAAACAATATAACCTTTTATTGTTACCAGCCTTAAAACTACTTTAAAATGTCTGTCTTTTAAACGTAAACCAAAACTTCAATATTTATTTTATCCACCAAAAATAATCAATCAAAAATGTTTCGACTGCACTGTGCAGACTTATTTTTCATTTTTTTTGCACTGTGCAGTAGAAAAAAAACCTTTTTAACTTGTGTTACTATGGTTTTAAGAACATAAAAGCTTTAAAATGTTAAGAAATTAAGCAAAACATGTTACTTTCTAAAATCTGCACAGTGCAGTCAAAATTTTTATTTTTGTCATAACTTTTTTTTAAAAATATTTCAATACTTTATTGTTAACACCCTTAAAACTACTCTCAAACGCCTTTCTTTTAAACTTAAAATCTATTTTTAATAATACTCTTATCCACCAAACATAATTGATCAATATTTTTCAACTGCACAGTGCAGTCTTTTTTTTGCACTGTGCAATAGAAAAAACCTTTCTAACTTGTACTTACTGTAGTTTTCAGAAGCAAATACCTTTAAAATGTGAAAAAAATAAGCAAGGCATGTTACTTTCAACATTCAAAATGAAAAATCGAGTTGTTTTTATGTCTGGCTCAAATAAAAATAAATTAGCTGTTAGGGAGAAGGTGGGCACGGGTGCAAACGTTGGTCGACTTCCTGATTAAAATGATTGAAAAAATACGTTTTGGTGGTGTTTTTGGACTAATTGGACTGAATTTTGAAAAAAAACTTGAAAAAAAAATTTTTGAAATTTTAAAATTTGGGGGTTAAGTCTAGTGCTAAGGAGAGGGCTAGGACGACAGCTAGCGCAAAAGAAACGCTAGGGTTCAAACTTTTGAAATTTGAAATTTTGAAATGTTTTCCTAACCCTAAGGGCATATTTTCATGCTAAATTGTTATGCACTTTTACCTAAAAACGCCGTTTTTCTCGCTAAAATGCCACTTTTTACCAGAAAAACCCGAAAAACTCGTTGCCACTTTGAGTTTATGTAAATTATTTTTACTGGAATTGAATTTGCAAGTCGCTTCAAGTTTATTTCGTGCCTCAGGCATTTCAGAAAATAAATATTTTAAGCGTCCAGACCAATATTTCAAAGGAAAGAGAAAGCTGAAGGAGAGAGAGTGAGGGGGAAGGAGAGAGTGGTTAGAGAAGGGAAATAGTGTGGGGGAAAGGAAGGGCATTTTGAGTGGAAAAGTGGATATTACTACCCACCCAATTTTGCAGTACCCTACCCTACCCTACCCTACCCTACCCTACCCTACCCTACCCTACCCTACCCTACCCTACCCTACCTTACCTTACCTTATCTTACCCTACCCTTTCCTATAGTATTTCAACCCTATCCTAGGCTACCCTAATACCGTATCTTACTTTACCGTACCCTACTCTTTCAACCCTAATCTACCTTGTTCTTTTTTGTCTTACTCTACCCTACCTACCACGCTTGGTTTTACCTTGCTTTACCCTACCTTACTTACTTCTACCTCAGCTCTTCTTGACTCCGCCCTGAATTTTTTAATGCAGTTATGCACATGCCCTACCTTAATATACCCTACTCTTTCATGCCTTGCTCTGCCTTTCTTTAAACCCGGTCTTTTTTAATCTCCCCCCCCCCTTTCTCTCTTTTTTTTCTATTCTGTTACCCTTGCCTTAATACCCTCTAAATATTCCCTTAAACGACCCTCCCTACCTACCACAACGTATTCCTACCCTACAGTAATTAAATTCCGATTTCCGTGGGATTTTCAGGATTTTCAATTTATTTTTTTTATTTACAAACGAAATCGTCCCCCCCCTCCCCACTTACGTCGCCACCTTCCGAGGAATGTCATCAGACTTGGGGTGGGTCCGAAAACAAGACTTTTTTTGTTCGCTTAGAGACCGGCCGAGGGAAAAAGCCCGGAGGGCGGCATTAGCCCGGCCGAAAAAGACGGATTTTCGGGAATTGGGCCGTCTTTCTCTCCGTTCTTTCGAATAAATTTTAAAATAGAAAGCCTGAGGACATAAGTTTTTGAATTTTATGTAGTTTTAAATCGTGGCTGGGTTTTTGGGGTGTTTTAAAGTTTGAAGGGGTAGATAGGGGTCATTTTAGTTTGAGTAAGATGCGGTATTTTATGTAAGGTAGGGCAGGGTGGGGCTTTTAGGCAGGGTAGGACAGAGTGGGGCTTTTAGGCAGTTCAGAGTAGGGCATTTTAAGTAGGATAGGGCTTTTAGGTAGGCTAGAGTGTGGTATTTTATGTAAGGTAGGGCAGGGTGGAGCTTTTAAGCAGGGTGGGGTGCTTTTAGGCAGGGTAGGGCAGGGAGACGATTTTATTTAGAGTAGATGGAGCATTTTAAGCAATGTAGGGTAGGGCTTTTGGGTATGGCAAGGCGGGGTATTTTCCATAGGACAGGGCAGGGTATGTTAAAAAGGGCAGGGTGGATCATTTTAAGCAGGTTAGGATGGGGCGTGGCATTTTAATTTGGGTAAGGTAGACATCTTATATAGGGCAGGGTTATGTATTGTATAATAGATATGGCGGGGTAGGGTAGGGTAGGGTAGGGCCTTCAAATTGAATGTAGAGTTCTGGAGGTTTGTCTGTCGTATGTTTACCCTCGGGCACAAAATTTCTTTTTTTTTTTGGGATTTACGCACCGAGAACTTTCAGACAACCGGCTTTCCCTTACATTAATCTCGAAAAGTTTACTTTGGATTTTAGGGGTGGGCATGGGTATAGGGTATTATGAGAGAACGAAAAATTGTATTGTGGTCTTGGTTAAAAAGTTTATAGAAAATGGATTTTAGTGGTCAAAAAGTACATAGAAAAGTAAAAAATCAGAATTTTTTGCAATTTTTGTACATTTTATGATCTTTTTGACCTCAACTTTAAATGTCTTTTGATGTTTGAATTATGTTAAGTGCAGCCATGTTTAATATTCATGACATACAGGGTTGTTAAGGCTACAAATTTAGTTTATTTTTGCTTTTTAAGGCCTAATGTTCAATTTTTTAAATTTTTAAAACGAGACAATTTGATGTATCGAACACGTAATTATGTGTAGTAATAACCCTCATATGTCTTTTTATGACATTAACTCAAGTTAGGCCGGATTAGTCGGTTCCTCTTTGGGTATGAGGCCTTTAATAGCGGTTTACTCGGTATAACGATGATCTTTGTTGCTTTAGATAGTCACAAGACCTAGCCCTAGCCCAGAGCCCTAGCCCAGAGACTTAGCCCAGAGTCCTAGCCCAGAGCCCTAGCCCAGAGCCCTAGCTCAGAGCCCTAGCCCAGAGCCCTAGCCCAGAGCCCTAGCCCAGAGCACTAGCCCAGAGCCCTAGTCCAGAACCCTAGCCCAGAGCCTTAGCCTAGAACCCTAGCCTAGAGCCTTAGCCTAGAACCCTAGCCCAGAGACCTAGTTCAGAGTCCTAGTCTTGGCTTTAGCTTTAGCTTTAGCTCAAGCTCAAGCTCTAGTTCACGCTCTAGCTCTAGCTTCAGCTCTACATCTACTTCTACCTCTAGCTCTAGCTTTAGCTCTAGATCTAACTTTGGCTCTTGCTCTAGCTCTAACTCTGGCTCTGGATTTAGTTATTGCCCTGGCTTACCTACCCTACCCTATCTTACATTGCTCTACCTTATCTCATCTTTTGTTACCTTACCTTATCCGGCCTTATCATTCGCTTTCTCACCTTGTTTTATTACTGTATATATAGCCCTAGACTTAACTTTAGCCTTAAGTTCAGTTTTAGCTATAACCTTGTTCTTACTCCAGCTTTTAAATTTGTCTTAGCCTAAGGGTAATTATACTTTTTTTACTCTTTTACCCTACTCTTTGCCCTACTACTTTCTTTGGCTTTTTTGATCCTATCCTCGGGTCATCTATACCTTTTTTTTATCTTTTTCTGCTCTATAGTAACTCTTTTACATATTTGACTATCTATTTTTAGTATATACATACCTATGTAAGTAATTACTCGTCTATTACCTGTTACTGAGTGTCATTTCTGACCTTATGACACGCCCTTTTACACCCTCCTTTTCATCTTTTCATTAAACATACAATCCTGTCAGTAAAAGACAAAACCACACCTATAATCATACCTCCAAACTTCACATTCATACCTACTTATCTCCAAAAGTTCATACAACAAGATACGATAGGCTATATATGTTTTTACATTTCGTGCACTTCCGCTCACCCTACATCTTCATATCGGGTTTCAAACTCTATTTCGCTTCTATAGGACTTGGGTCGAATTGTCGAAGACTTTGTCGTAACCTATTTAAATCGCGTTTTTAAAAATGGAGGAAAAACCGCCCGAGGAGAAGGACCAAACTGATGATCGACGTAAGTTTTGGGTCGATAATTTACGAAAAAGCATATCTATTAGAGTTAAAAATGGCTGGAAATTGTAGCAAATTAAATTTTTGATTAAGCTTTAAATTGAGTTTTTAATTTATAACTCATCATCATATAAAAAATGGCAATTTAAGCCAAAAATCGGCCGAAATCTCAAAAATTTATTGAAAAACAGGCTAAAAATATATAAAAAGTGCCATTTCTAACCTTATATTAGCTCTAAAATTACTCAAATTTTGTCAAAAGACACTTCAAACTACCTAAAATACGATATTTTTTAAATTTTAAAAAAAGTTTTTGAATTTTAAAATCCCGCCAAAATCAAAGAATTTTTAACATTGTGTTGCAACTACTTTTTTTAGATTAGAAATGCATTTTTTTAGTTGTAAATATTATAAAAATGGTGTTTTCAGTATAAAAAAGGCTTAAAATTGACTTGTAACACAATGCCAAAAATGGCGCCAAAAACGAAATTTGAATTTTTTTAAAATTTTTTTATTAAATTTTTATAGATATAACTAAAAATGGGTTTAAAAAGCTTATTAAAATTTAAATTGAGGGAGAAAAAGTATGATATTGAGGTGAAAACAATCATTTGGTGATTATATTATAGTAGGTACTTGGTGTATTATAGTAGGTTCTTGCTAGGTTTTTATTAAAATATTGACACATATTATCGAAACTAGGTTTACCAAACCTATTAAACTTGAATTTGAAGTGGAAAAGCTATGGTATTGAGCATAAAACAATCATTTAGTGTTTATGTTATTATAGTTTCTTGCTATATTATAGTAGGTTCCTGCTAATATGCTAGTATTCGTACATTTTCTAATTAGTATTGTAATTAACATTACTCATAGCTAATTCCGAGTAATGTGAAGGAATTGCAATATTGTCAGGCCAACTTCATCTTGTTGTCGGCGGCCAGAGAATATTTAATTTGGGTAATAACTGACTTGTTTACTCTTTGACTATTCGAAATTAAACTGGGGAAACGCGTAAATATAAAACAATGTCTGTTCATGACGTGGGACATTATTTTGATTATGACAAAATGAGTTGATAGGTTGGTAAAATACGAAACCAATGAAAACATTTAAATATTTAAAAATTGAATAGAACAGAATACCAAGATTTTTGGAAAGACCCGCGAAAATGCAAAATTTGAAAAGTTCAAAACCATGAAGAAGCCATTTTATATCTCAAAAAACTTGTTTTGCTTATGTTTTTGATAATAATTTAATTTTATCACACGAAACACCGGCTTGAAACACAATGCCAAGATTTTTGGAAAAGGCCGCCAATTTAAATATTTAAAAACTAAAAATGTTTAAAATAGTAATTTTATACTTGAAAGAACTTTTTTTTTTAACTTGTCATTTTCTAGTAATTATGGGGCTTAAAACAGCAGCCTGAAACACATGCCAAGAATTTTCCAAAAACCCGCCAATTTAAATATTCAAAATATTATTGATAAAAGTGTTGCTTCTAAGCTAAAACGTCGTGTTTGAGACATGTTTTGGTCAGAAATTTAATTTTAATTATTAAATTAATCTTGGAACACAATTCCAAGAACGGAAAAAAGCCCGCGCTTTTAAAAATTTAAATCTCTTTAAAATGAAAAGTGACAAAAATAACCTTGTGAGAGAAAAAAACAATAAAAAATTTTGAAAAACGTCATGACAGTTAGTGAAAAGTTTTAAAAATGCTAATGCTTCTAGGCTTAGGCTTCTAGGCTTAGGCTTCTAAGCTTAGGCTTCCAGGCTTAGGCTTCTAGGCTTAGGCTTCTATGCTTAGGCTTCTATGCGTATGCTTCTAGGCTTAAGCTTCTAGGCTTAAACTTATATGCTTAAGCTAGTTCACATAAACTGTGTAGGCCTAAAAGCCTAAAAACTTTGAAGAATTTAAAAATTTTGCCATTATATAAGGAGCTTTCCAAACACTTATTTTAAATTAACTAAAATCCCCACCTTTCCCCGTTTCAGCGCCAGGTACCCGAGTCATGTTTCTCCTCAAAGAAACCAGTGACTCGCCCGCTTTATTCACCGAAATGGGAGAGTTGACCCGAGCTGGTGGTACCGAGGAGTGGAAAGAAACCGCTCGATGGGTCAAGTTCGAAGAAGATGTCGAGGAAGGTGGCAACAGATGGTCCAAACCTCATGTTGCTACTTTGTCTTTGCATGCGCTGTTTCAGTTACGGTAGGTTGAAAAGATCTTTAAATTTGAGGGAGGATTTTCATTTTTCTTTGATTTTTGAGTAATGGGAGGGATAAAAGAAAAAAATTCAAAGAGGGGGGGGGGAGGAGGGCGAGGGGTATAGTAGGTATATTTGCATTTGTGATCACCTTGACATTAAAAAGGTTATTTTTTAAAACATTAGGAAATGGGCGGGGTAAATTTTTGGACGAAGGGCAAAGTGAGTAAATTTGTAGTTTAAAGCACCGTAAAGGTAAAAATAAATTTTTAAAAATTTTCGTTGTTGGGTAGGGTAAATTTTTTTTTTATTTGTGGGGGTGGATTTTTTTTTATTTTGGAATTAGATGTTATTATTTCAATTTCTTTTCAATTGTGACCATTTAAACATTTTTTAACGTTTCAGATCATGCTTATTGAATGGTGTTGTCATGATGGACTTAGAGGCCGAAAACTTTGTTCAACTCATCGGTAAGGGAATTTTTCAAAATTTTTTTATTTTTTGAATGGTAGGGCTAAACTCATGTTTCTCATAGCTAGAACGACATATACTAGGCTATTGTGATGTTTTTGAAAGTAAGATAACGTAAGGTATAGTAGGGTAAGGTAGTGCAAAGTAGGGTATGGTAGTGTAAGGTAGAACAGCCTACAGTACGGGTAGGGCATTATAGGGTAGGGCATCATAAGGTAAGGCTTGATAGGGTAGGGTAAGGTCGGGTAGGCTAGGGTAGGGTAGGATAGGAAGGACCATCTTTTCCCAAATTTTGTCCCAAAATAGCCCAAATTATGATAACTCAAGGCATTTCTCAACATTGCTTCCGGCCAGAAATGACGCACTTTCGGCCTCATTATGTCCGCAAGCCCTGTTTACACTAAAAACCGTCGAAAAATGTTTGGAAAATTCGTGAAAAACGTTTCGAAGATCGAAAAAGAGCCACAGGATGTATCTTTTTCACAAAAAAAGTCGTTTTTTAGGTATTTGTTACCTAAAAGTCTAGCATTTTCAGTGTTTTTCATTAACATCTGACTCTTTCAGTATCTTTTTCTCACGTATTTTCATAAAAAAGTATCTTTTTCTCACTTTTTTTCAAAAAAAGTGTCTTTTTCCGAAGCCCCACCCCTTTTAATCCAAAGAACAGACCGGCTCGAGAGTGATCTCTGGTTAAGGCCGAAAAGAGCCAAAAACCATGCACAGAGATCTCAAATTCCATAAAAAAGAAACAACACATGCTTTCTTAAGGCTATGCAAAATTTCCAGGGTTTTCGAAACAATTTTGTTCAGTAATCTATGATAAACGGCTACCTAATACAATATAAGGCATAATTAATATAAAATGCCAGTTTTAAAGCATAGCTCTTAAATCAATACACTGAACTATGAAAAAAGACTTTGAAATTGCCTACAGATAATAAAAAATTTAAAATTCGATTTTAAAATTTAAAAAAACGCCCGAAAATTAAAAAATTTTCAAATTTCAGACAAAGTCTTGGACGAACTGATAAAATCCGGCCAATTAGAAGAGTCCGAAAGAGATGATGTACGTCTTGTTCTCAACAGACGCCATACTCATCAGTACGAACAGGTAAACACGTTCTTTCATTGGGATCACATTAAATTTGGCAGCAAGATAAATTTACTAAATATTTATTAGAAAAAACTAAAAATTGCCATTTTCTATTTAACCAAACTTGAACCTATGACATTTTTTGTGCCAAAAATTGATTTTGTAACACTATTAACAAAGAAAATGTCATTTTTTAGGTATTTGACAAATAAAAACAATAAAAAACATTTTTAATAACCCTGCGACCCGCGCAAATCCGGGCGCAACAGTACAATATCACTGAAATTTTTTTTTCGAGCCGAACGCGGCCAAGTCCACCATCAAAAATGCGTTTTTCAACAATATTTCACTAAACCCGTATTTTAGGCGGGTCGCACAACAAACGGAAATGGAACTCAACCTTCCGGATTCCTCAACGCCGTCCGCTCCATCTCCGACATTGGAAAGTCCTTCTCCCACGGCCGAAATTTGCATAAACATGGCCAAGAGGACGAATCGCCGCAGAAAGCCTCGAATCAGCTGGAATTGCCAAAAGTGGGATCAGTGCCAAAGGATATCACACGGGATGGATCGCAAAGTGATGTTAGTGTCAAAGGGAATACCCATTTTATGAAAAAGCTGCCCGCCGGCGCCGAGGCTTCGAATGTTTTGGTCGGTGAAGTCGACTTCTTGAGCCATCACGTTACCGCCTTCATTCGACTGAAATCCGCTGCCATTTTGGGCGATTTGGTCGAAGTCCCAGTGCCAACCAGATTCTTGTTCATTTTGCTTGGCCCCACTGGCCATTCGGCCCAGTTCAAGGAGATTGGCCGCGCTATCGCTACGTTAATGTCCGACGAGGTTGGTTTTTGATGTCTTTTTTGGTTTTTAGGTATGAAATTTGAAGTGTTTTCGTCAGAGAATGATGCAGAATTTAAATTCCTACATTTTAAACCATAGAGCTACGAAGTTTTTTTAAATTATGCACTGAAAACTCCATTTCGCTATGTTATGGTAGCCCCATCTATTAAAACATCTAAAAATCCCTATTTCTGACTTCCAAAGACACCTAAAACTAGTATAAATAATCCATAATGTTGATAAGCCATCGTTCTAACATCTCACATAGTTTAGATTTTCCATGATGTTGCTTATAAAGCACGTCAACGTGACGATCTTCTGGATGGTGTCGATGAATTCCTGGACCAAGTTACTGTTCTACCACCTGGTGAATGGGATCCCACGATTAGAATCGAGCCTCCCAGCAAGATTCCATCTCAGGAAAAACGAATGCAGGTAAAACATTGTCAATTTTATATTGTTCTTGGTTTTTAGGTATACTTGATGGTTTTGCGGAAAATCGGGGGTTTTATGTATAGATTTATGGCTGTTTCTGATGGCAAAAGATAGGATAGGTAATAAGAAGTGTTTTACAAACAAAGACGGTGTGTTTCGATTTAGTTTTGGCTGAGAAAACTAAGAGTTTAGATATTATAGTAGACGAAATTTGGATTTTTGCTTAAAACGTCGAAGAACGGCCAAAATTATTTTTTTTTACAATCTCCTATAACTTACAATAAAGAATATTAACTTACCTCCCTTTAGGTACCAAAAGACCTGATAGAACAAGCTGCAGCGGCCGGTGCCGGCTCTCCGAAGAAGCCCAAGAAGGTTGATCATGAAGAAGAAGATGGTCATGCTAATGACCCGGCTCTCCAACGAACTGGAAAGTTTTGTGGAGGTCTTCTGGCTGATATTAAGCGTAAATTACCGTGGTACTTCAGTGATTACAAGGATGCTTTGAACTTGCAATGTGTTGCCACGATCTGCTTCATGTACTTTGCTCTTTTGGCTCCAATTGTGACATTCGGAGGGTTATTGGAGGAGGCTACTCATCAAAGAATGGTAAGGAGTTTATATTGATGTTTTTTGATGTTTAGGTCAATTTAAAAATGGCATTTTGGGCTCGAAAATGGTGAAAAAACGGGAAAATGAGGCTTATTTGGATCTGCAGCCTGCGCGAGCCAAGTTATACGATGAAAGATTTATACAAAACGATAAAATTTGAAAGAGATATAAGAAAATAGATAATAAAACACGATTTCTAATGCATATTCCAATTTTTTTTAAAAAAAATTAATTTTCAATCTTTAGGCCGCCATGGAGAACATCGCCTCAGCCGCCCTCTGTGGAATCCTTTATCACTTGTTTTCGGGTCAACCACTAACAATCATCGGCTCCACCGGTCCCGTCCTCGTATTCGAAACCATTGTCTATGATATGTGTGTCACATTGAACATTCAATACCTATCGTTCCGCTTCTGGGTTCACGTTTGGACGGCCATTATATTGATCATCATGGTGGTGACGGACTTGTCCTCATTGGTCAGCTATATCACCAGATTCACGGAGGAATCGTTTGCCACATTGATTGCTGTGATCTTCATCTATGAAGCGTTGATGAAGTTGATCAAGATCAGTGACAGTTTGGATGTGATCCCGGATGCGAGGAGTGGAGCTTGTTATTGTGTTGGAGGGTCGGCTAGTCTGGAGCAGGTGCAAGCGGCAGCTCACAAGTATCATATGGATAGTGCTGTCATTCATAATGGCAGTCATGTTCAGTATGAAAAGGTGGGTAATGGGGGGGGAGGGGGGGTTGTGGGGGTGAAATGGGCTTTTTAGAAGGGGTTTGACCTTGTTTTAGGTCTTTTTTACCTTATTTTAGATCATTTTTGACATTGTTTTAGGTCCTTTTGCCTTGTTTCGCTTTTTCGAGAAATCTAATCGTTTTTTCACGTTTCAGCTAGCCCTAGGCCACTGCAAGAAGCTCCTGGGTACCCTAACTGGCGATGGTTGCTTTGTCCTGTACGATAAGCTTCTGATGTCCGTTGTCTTAATGGTTGGCACGTTCTTCCTAGCCATAACTCTCAAGAAGTCCAGGAACAGCTGCTACTTCCCATCGTTCGTACGCCAGGTATTCAGCGACTTTGCCGTAATGATTGCCATTGTCGCTATGACCTTGGTCGACATCGCCATGGGCATCAACACTCCTAAACTCAACGTACCATCTAGCTTCAGACCGACCTTCCACGGCCGTACTTGGTTCATTTTCCCGTTTGAAGGTAACCCACTCTGGACAGCGCCATTGGCCATAGTACCAGCCTTACTAGCCTGCATATTGATCTTCATGGATCAGCAAATCACCACGGTAATCGTGAATCGAAAGGAGAACAAGCTGAAGAAGGGCTGTGGCTACCATCTGGATCTGTTTGTCTTGGCCATATTGATCTTCTTGGTTGGCATGTTTGGCCTACCAGTATATGTAGCAGCCACAGTACTCAGTATCAATCATGTCAACTCACTAAAAATGGAATCAGAATCCAGAGCTCCAGGCGAAGTAGCACAGTTTGTGGGGGTCAGAGAGCAAAGAGTCACAGGCATAGCAACCTTTCTACTGATAGGACTATCAGTACTACTAACCGGCGTACTCAGCCACATACCCATGCCCGTACTCTACGGTGTATTCTTGTACATGGGTATTGCTGCGTTGGGTGGTATTCAGCTGTTTGATAGGATTTTGCTACTGTTCATGCCAATGAAATACCAGCCGGATACGATCTATATTAGACATGTGCCTATCAAGACTATTCATGCCTTCACTCTATGTCAATTTGGATGTCTGGCTGTGTTGTGGATCGTCAAGTCGATCAAGAAGACCTCTATCAGTTTTCCTATTATGGTAAGAGGTTTAGTTTTTTGGGTTGAGGCATGGAAATTTGAATTTTTTGCGAAAATTGGATATTGTAGTAGGTTTGGAGATGGAAAAAGTGGGTTTTATGAGGAAGAAAGGGGTTTAAGTGCTATTTTAGGTGTTCAATTAAACAAAAGAATGATTTTTAGTTGAAGAGAATAAAAAGAAGCGTATTTTACTATAAAACAAGAAAAAGTGACAAGTTATACGATGAAACATGTTTTTTGAAATTTTCAAATTTTTTAAAAATTAAAAAAAAATTACTGATTTAGGTGTAGAAAATAGTTTTAAATGTAGTTATAAATGACGTATTTTACAAAGAAAAAAATTTTTTTTTAAAAATTTGGAAAATTTCAAAAAAAATTTTTTTTTAATTTTAAAAAATCAATGTTTTCCAATTTTTAAACCTAAAATTAATATCCAAACATTGCAGTTAGTCGTAATGATTGCCATCCGCAAACTGATGGAGAAGTTCTTCTCGGAGAAGGACCTCAAGTACCTCGACGACAAGATGCCGGACTTCCATCTGCGCAAGAAGGAGGACATGAAGCGTCGCAACTCGAAGCCAGAAGAGATCGAAATCGATTTGGACGAGAATCAGGGCACCATTCATGCCGTCAAAACCGAAGCTCATTTGCATATTCCCATGACATCGGGAAATGTCATCAAAATTCCATTGGCCGCGATTCAAGACCAACCATCGCACAATATTAACATTAGTAAAGAGGTCAATTCGAGCGGATTGTGGCGGTCGATTACGAATGATTCGAAGGACAATCTGAGGACTGGTCACAAGGATAATAATCAGTAAGTTTGGACATGGGTTTTTGGGGCTTTGTTAGGAAAATGGCACTTTTGACGAAATGGCACAAAAGTTATTGATTTTTTAAACCTTGTATTTTTTGAAGTTTCTGGTAATTTTTGAGTATCAAATGGTTTTTTTGGTTTAGGAAACAATTTTTTGAAATGTGACGAAGTGTCACAATAAGTATTGATTTTTTAAAAATTCGATTTTTGGTGTTTTTATCTTTTTATATTTACTCAAAATGATTTGTGTAAGCTTAAAATTAATTTTTTTTATGTTTGACGAAGTGTCTACTTTTTTATTGACTTTTTGTGACATTTCGTTAAATTTTAAAATAATGTTTTATATTGACCACAAGTTTAATAAATGTCATTTTCATGAAATTTTATAATATTATAAGAAAAATAAACCTATTTTCATTTTAGTTCACCTCGTCTGGCCACTCCAGATGAAGATGACGAAGCCATAACCATCAATGTCCTGAAGCCATCGCCAGACGAAGGTCGTGCTGGCTTGAACGAGAACGAGCCTTTGCTGCATAAACGCAAAAAGGACGATGAAAATGCCAGTCCTTAAGTTTTTGAACTGTGAAATTTGCATAATTTTTAAAAATTTAGATTTTTTAAAAATTTTTTAATTTTTTGATTTTTAGGTAACAAATTTTCAATGATTTTAAAGCCTTTTTGAGTGTTTGTAAGAGCATTTTGTCTATTTTAAAGTCGTTTTTCAATATCTTATACCTAAAATTGAATTGTCGGAATCTCGCAATTTCCCTAATAATCTATGTTACAGTAGTAATTATTCACCAAATAGTCTTATGGCCAGATGAATCGGCCAAAAACAAGTCCTGCAACTCTTTCATAACAACATTTTTTGATAACATTTACATTTTACAGTACTTTTACAGTAATTTTTGTGTTCTTAATGTTTTTAGCCATTTTTACCTAAATTTTGACGATTTTTATAATCTTACAGTAATTCTACAGTAATTTTTTGCATTTTTCTAATTTTTTATGGTATGTCATGGAGTGTCATAACTTTTTAAACTGCATTATTGTAGTAATTTTGGTAAAGTCAATCTCAAATGACATCTTTTTCAACAGTTAGGTCAATGTTTTATCGCTCAAAACACTAAAAAACGTATTTTGAACGTTAATCTTCAAATTTTTATTGTTTTTCCCATTAATTTGAACTAATTTTTAATATTTTAGTTTAATAAACTGTTATAAAAAAGGTCTTTGGATCGGTTCGGAGGGGTAAATTATTTATATATTATACTTGGTTTTTAATCCTAAATATACATGCTTAAGCCAAAAATTATATTTCTAAGCTAAAATTTGGTTTTTAAGTATAAAATTTTGTTTTAAGCCTGAAATTTAATTTTTAAGCCTAAATTTTGATTTTTAAGCATAAATTTTGGTTTTTAAGCCGAAAAATTGATTTTTAAGCCTAAAATTCTATTTTTAATCAATAATTTTATTTTAAGCCTAAAATTTAATTTTTAAGCCTGAAATCCTATTTTTAGGCCTATAGTCTAATTTCAAGCCTAAACTTTAATTTTGAAGCCTATTCTTCATTTTTAAGTCTAAAATCCTTCTTGCAGCCTTCGTTTTAAGTTTCTTTAAAAAGAGGGTGTACTAAAACTGTATAACAGTTTATTGCTTTCAATATCAATATCTTTTAAACAATCAGAAATGCCATTTTTATGTAAAAAAACTAAAATATTATCATTATTAGTATTATTATATATAACATAAGACCTGAAATCATCAGAATTATACAAATAAAGCTTAAAAATGCCATTATATACAATACAACAGTATTTATAACGTAGTACCTATAATATGTATAGTACATATAAGGTTATTATTGCCTTAGCACCGGGAAAGGATGAGCTTCAGTATTAAATACCCACTGATCCAGATCAATTACAGTATCCTCCTCGAACACCAAATACAAATACTTCAACGTTTCAGCCAAAATGAAGCTCTGTTGAACGTCGTCGTGAACGACCGGTAGCTTATCAACGTTCCGAATCCCTGCGAAGCCATTAGCTACACGACAATACCGGTCGATTGCTTGTACCGCCGCCCAACACCAGTCACGGTAACGGTTGTCGTGAGTGGCACGCCATAGGAAGAACCAGCCTTCGACGACTTCGGGCCGAAGAATGTAGTAACGTTCGCCGTCGCGCACGGCACGAGCTTCCACGTCCGGCGTGAAACGAAAGGCTTCTGGCCCGATTCCCGTTTCTGAAAAGAGAAAATTTTAAAGTAACCATACCCAACAGTGCCGTATCCTACCCTATCTTACCCTACCGCATCCTACCCTACCCTACCCTACCCTACCCTACCCTACCCTACCCTACCCTACCCTACCCTACCCTACCCTACCCTACCTTACCCTACCCTACCCTACCCTACCCTACCCTACCCTACCTTACCCTACCCTACCCTACCCTACCCTACTCTACCGTAACCTACCTTGCCCTGGACAGCCTTGACCTACCCTATTTTTCTCTGCCCTACTCTGCCATGGCCTTGCCCTTGCTCCTGCTTAACGCTTCTCTGCCTTTTCCCTGCCCTTCCATGCCCTACCTTACCCTTCTCTACTCTTCCCTACTGCCGTGCCTTGCCTTACGCTTCTCAGCCCTTTTTCTGCCCTTTTCTGTCTTTTCCTTCCCTGTCGTGCAGTACCTTGCCCTAGCCCTATTTCTATACTAGCCCTAGCTGTCGTGCCTTGCCTCTGTCCTACCATTCCCGTGTCTTAGCTTCCCCTCTCCCTGCTCTATCCTAGCTTCATTTTATCATTTTTTTCATTACAGAACCCACTTCTACCGTATTTTACCATATTTTCTCCTCCCCCTTACCTTTCATCATTCCTCCCCCCCCATCCCTCCTCCCCCACCCCCGCCTTAAAAAGCGACAAAACCTTTGTAACGCCTTAAAATTTAAATTTTCAAAAAAAAATTTTTAAATCAATTCCCTACCTGTCCTAACATAGCTTTCATGACAAGTATTCCCCAGCTGTTTTCCCACCTCCAGGGCGTGCATTTTCTTGGCCAAATCAGTTTCATATTTGGCCTGAAGAGCGTACATTCCGGCCGAAAAGCAGGCCAAGTGATCCATCTTGTGTTCCACTCGATTACCACGTAAATCCGCAAAATATTTCAAATTACTTTGCTGTGAAGTGAACAGTAGCTTGGCTTCTAACGCCTTCATTGCTTCATCGTACATTCGTTTGGCTCCAGAATCGGTACGGTCGGTCTGAAGCCAAACTTTGAGCAAATATTCGTAGAAACTGTCTCCTAAGGCTCCGATGGACACGTGTTCTACAAATTTACACAATACTAATGGTACTAATGGTACTTTTGGTTCAACCTAATAATAGCACCAAGTAAAAATAGTAACAATAGTACTAACCGAGACCAGTAGGCCTATTTTTGATGGTTTTCCCCAGTTTTTGCTAGCAAAAGTACCATTTTGTTAAAGTAGTAGGTGCCGACATAAAGAACCCGCCATACTTTGTAATTCCATGTAAAAGATGGCGGGTTCTTTATGTCGGCACCTAATAGTAACATCCTGTTAAAATAGTACCATTCCGTGAAAACAGTACTATCTATGAAAAAACTGTTAACCACGGGGCTAAAAGCTACGTATTTTACAACTCTTACTCAAGCAAAATCGACCCGTTTTTGGACTGATATAATTGGAATAAAGCCCATCTGTTTTCTCCGCCTGATCCATAACCTCTCGGACTCGTTTCACCTTATCCTTGTACAAATCAGAACCCGTCAATTTGGATAAATAATTAAATTCCAGCTCCAGAGAGCCCAGTTCGGAGAGGATTGAACAGCCTCCAGAAGCCCAGCCCCAATTCGAAGCCCGACCCGTGTTCATGTTGACCAAAGCCAATGGTATACCGGTGGGAGTGTCGAAAGCTGGCAGCAAAAGGTCCGCAACTTCACGGGCTTTCAGGAGGAATATCTGAAAACGGGGTTTTAGTGGGTTTTGTTACCTAAAATTGAAGGTTTTTGAGAAAAAATGAGATTTTTTGGGGAAAATTTTGAAATTTTAATTTTGTTTGTGCCATACCTTTTTGGACTTCAAACCAAATACTCTAAAAGTGACGCAGATAACACCTTGTTTCAAACTTAACATATATCAAACAAAAAATTTTTTTAGTTTTTGCTATTTTAAAAGTTACAGTACTTTAAGTCATACCACCTATTTTTTCAAGAACTGACCCAACAGCACTAAAAAAGTAAAATACGTTCACTTTAACGAAAAATATTATAAAATATGATTTAAAAATAGTAAAAACTAACAGTAAAACTTATTTTTGAAATTTTTTGTTAACTACATAAAAATTTTTTGAAAAAAAGAGGAGTTTCTTTGAATAAAATGATTAAAAATCTGGAAGTTTCATATAATATGTACCAGATACCTTTGTAATCTAAACAAATAAACCTAAAGATTGCTACTCAAACACTTTACGCTATGCTCTACAAATGGCAATAAAAATAATTTTTTAAATTTTTAAACTTAAAATTTTTAAAAAAATTGAAAATGTACAGAAGGTTTTAGTCGCAGCCCAAATTTTGAAAAAGCACAGTACTACCTCTATGAAATGTAAAATACGCCGCTTGCTTATTTTTCTTTATAAAACTTTTTAAAAAATCAAAATAACTTACAGTTTCAATGCTCAAAGCATAAGCGGACAAAAGTCCTCCAACAAATCGAATGTTGGTTTCGAATACTGATAGTGAAGACGGCTGAAAATTAAAAAATTTAAAAAATTGAAAAAAAAAGTTTTTTACTCTTACGATTCCCACGTTAAGCCTAAGCTTAAAAATTAAGACGCTACGTAAACCTAAGTTTAACCTAAGCCTAAACCTCAGCTTAGGTCTATAATTAAGCAAAGTCTAAACATAAGCATATGTCTCACTATCAGCCTGTGACTTAACCTAAACCGAAACCTAATCTAGGCCTTAAATTAAAACGGAGCCTAAAACTTTGCCTAAGCCTAAGCCTAAGTCTAAGCCTAAGTCTACGCCTAAGCCTAAGCCTAAGCCTAAACCTAAGCCTAAGCCTAAGCCCAAGTCTAAGCCTAAGCCTAAGCCTAAGACTAAGCCTAAACCTAATCCTAAGCCTAAGCTTAAGCCTAAGCCTAAGCCTTAACCTAAGCTTAAGCCTGATCCAATCCTTAAAAATAAACCTAGTCCTAAGCATGATCTTCTACTAAACCTACCGATTTCCTCAAATCAAACTCGGTCCGAATCCATTCTTTAGCCTCATCAAACTCCTCCTTCAATCCCATCATGTATAGAGTGTCCAAACCATCGACGATAGATGCTCCGATATGAGCTGCTCCAAAAACTGATCCAGAATGAGGTGCTTTTTTAGCCGTATTCAACTCATTCGCGCCCCAAGCATACTTACGGTAGTTGTCCCAGGCGAACTTCATCATCTAAAAATATTTTTTATACTAACCCGTGTACTTAATTCTGTGCCCTTTACACAAAAAACGCTAGGTAAGGCGAAGACAAAACCAGAGCAAGGCCAGAGCAAGGCCAGGACAAGGGCATAGGCATGGGCATGGGCATGGGCAAATTGTAAAAGTATAAAAGCCTACCGCTTTGACATAGTTCTTCTTATATTCAACATCGTTTTCAGTGATATTCCTCGTGAAATCCTTCAGAATCCGATCGAAATCCGACTCCTCTGGCTTCACACTTTCGACCAGTCGATTTTCCAAACTCCTCACTCTGATTGGCTTCTCTGTAGTATTTGAAAAAACAACAAAAACAAAAAAGAAACAAAGCCCGATGCTCAAGACGACCGCCATTATGTACTTTTGACAGAGACGAAACCCCATTGCCTTAGGGTTTTTGGTTGTTTCAGACGGTTTCCCCCAATTTTCGAGATCTTAATTGAGCACTTTGGGTCGAGTTCGCTTCCTTGAGATGGGAAACAGCTTTGGGTTCTGGTTTTTGTCCACTTAAACGGTCATTTGTCGAGTTTTTTGGTCGTTATTGGAGGGAAAAGTCATGTGGAGCAAAGGTTTACATTAAATTGGTGGTGGCATGCTAAAAATTAAGTTTTTAAAAAATAGTTGTAAAAAAATTTTAAAATTTAAAAAATAAAATATTGGCCGGACGTATTTTACAAAAAAATAATTTTTTTACCTAAATTATGAAAAAAAATTTTTGAAGCTAACTAAATACCCTACCCTACCGTATTCTACCCTACCCTACTCTGCCCTACCCTACTCTACCCTAACCTACCCCACCCTACCCTATCATAATCTTACTCTAAACTATTCTACTTATCCTATCAAACCCTACAGTACCCTTTACCTACCCTTCCCTGTCCTTCTCCTGCTGTTTCCTACCTTACCTTAGCCCCCGCTTCTGCCATGTTATACCTTAAGCTACCCTACTCTTTCCTGTCCTTGCCCTTCTTTTGCTTTTTCCTACCTTACCGTACCCTTCTACCTTTGCTGCACCCTACTCTTACCTTCGCCGTATTTTTTCAATGCCTTGATTTCAAGTAACTCTACCTAACTATTATATTTACCCTAGTAACCCGTAAAATTAAGAAATGTAAAATAGGTTTTAACTAACATTAACCATTGTGAATTTCAAATCTTTGCAAAAATAAAAAAAACTTTTGAAAAAGCATTTTCAAACATGCAAATCTATATGAAACATATCGTGCCACGCAGTAAAACAAGAATGTAACACTTTAACATGCAAGTTCAGATTCGCATGTCAAAGCCAGAAAGACAAACAAGAAAAGTGCAAAGCTATTATGATATTCCAAAAATGTAAAAAAGCCAGAAAACGTTTAAAAAAGGAAGTTTTTGAAGACTTTAGTACATTGAGTACGTACATAATGCTTATCTCGAGTAGTACTCAAATTTTTTGAATTTTGGAAAATCGACTTCTTGAGTAAAAAATAGCAAGAACTTTCATTACAAAACAAAAAATGGCAAAAACTTTCTTTACAAAACAAAATGTAGCAAGAATTTTTTTACAAAACATAAAATGGCAAGAACTTTCTTTACAAATCAAGAAATGGCAAGAACTTTCTTTACAAATCATAAAAGGGCAAGAACTTTCTTTACAAATCAAAAAATGGCAAGAACTTTCTTTACAAATCAAGAAATGGCACGAACTTTCTTTACAAATCAAGAAATGGCAAGAACTTTCTTTACAGAACAAAAAATGGCAAGAACTTTCATTACAAATAAAAAAGATGGCAAAAATTTTCTTCACAAACCAAAAAATAGCAAAAACTTTCTTTACAAAACAAAAAATGGCAAGAACTTTCTTTACAAATCGAGAAATGGCAAGAACTTTCTTTACAAAACAAAAAATGGCAAGAACTTTCTTTACAAATCAAGAAATGGCAAGAACGTTCTTTACGAAACAAAAAATAACAAACATTTTCAAAATAAATTTTAAAAATATGTAAAATACTACAGCTTTATCCTAGACCTATCTTCCATACCCACAAAAAACCCTTGCAAATTTCCTGGCCATGGCCACACTTTTTGAAACCAAAAAAAAACAAAAAACAAATTTAATACCTTAGGCGCTTTTAATCTCTTCGAAATACATACTAAAAATGTTTTGAAATTTCGAAAAATAAATTCCGCTTCTTTTGGGGTTCGTCTTTAAATAGATGAAAGCGAAAAGATTTTCGATTCTTGGCCCAGACCAAAAGATTCCCGGCCCCAAGTGTTTATTGTTGTGCCGCAGGAGGTTTGTGACATAATGATGTTACGTCAAATAATAGACATCCGTTTTATGCAAATTTAAAAAAAATTATTTTTATAGTGGCAATTTCTTTTACATTTTTAGCAAAAACTTTCTTTACAAAATAAAAAATGGCAAGAACTTTATTTACAAAACAAAAAATGACAAGAACTTTCTTTACAAACTTTGAAATGGCAAGAACTTTGTTTACAAAATAAAAAATGGCAAGAACTTTGTTTACAAAACAAAAAATGGTAATAACTTTGTTTACAAATCAAAAAATAGCAAGAACTTTCTTTACAAGACAAAAAATGGCAAAAACTTTCTTTACAAAATAAAAGATAACAATAACTGTCCATACAGTACAAGAAGTGGCAAAAACGTTGTTCCCAAAGCAAAAGATAAGCAATACCTATTGCCACCAACAAAAAAAAATGCGCTCGACCCAAAGAATCAAGCTTTCCAAAATTTTCTTTAATCAGCCACGCTAAAGCGAGCTGGATTAGTTACCAACCTATATATATAAATTTCAAGAAATTAAAAGATGCGAACATTTGATTTCAATCCATAAAAGAGAGACTTGTTTTTCGATTGGGTTACGAACAACTGCGAGAGAGAAGAGACGAAAAGGACTGAGAGAGAAACAAAGAAGAGAAGAGCAGAGCAGGTAAAAACTTTTCTTTATAAAATACGACTTGTGGGGAATAGGAACAGCAAAAACATTGTTTAGAAAACAAAAAGCCGCAAGAACTTTCTTTACAAAACGAAAAATTGCAACAAACTTTGTTTACTGAGCAAAAACTGGCAAGTACTTTCTTTACAAATCATAATAAATGGCGAGAATTTTCTTTACAATAGAAAAAATGGCAAAAACTTTCTTTACAAAGCAAAAAATAGCAAGAACTTTCTTTACAAAACAAAAAAAAATAGCAAGAAATTTCTTTACAAGTCGAAAAATGCAAGAACTTCCTTTACAAAACAAAAAATGGCAAGAACTTTCTTTACAAGTCGAAAAATGCAAGGTGTACCAAAAGTCCGTTGACTAACTTTACCGGTCGATTTCTTTATCTTGTACGCGATTTATATAATTTTTGTTATAGATTGTCTTATTCTCCATAGTTTTTTGTTATAAATAAGTAAAAACTGAGTTTTTTATGTCTACCGTCTGTCTGTATTTAGATGACAAACATGAGAGGAGCCATCTATAAGCTGCATAAAGAAGGAAGAAGGCAATGGTGATATTGCGAAATCGTTAAATATCGGAAAAGCTACAGTATCCAAACTGGTCAGACGGTATGTAGAGCTTGGACATGATGATGACAGACCTAGAAGTGGCCGTCCAGCAACTGTAAACCCCCGCGCCAACAGACAGTGGACCAAGAAGCGATTCATGCGTAACCCAAGGATTCCAGTACGTAAAATGGCACGAGAGGCCGGTCTAAAAGAAATTTCACTTTGCCGTATAGTCAGAAAGAACTTGAAGATGAAGCCGTACAATCTCAAGAAAGTTCAGAAACTTACTGATGAAAACAAAAAAGTACGGTTTAAAAGAAGCAAAACTCCGATACACCGGGCCGCTAACAAAAATTGGGAGCGCATTGTCTTCACTGATGAGACGATATTCACGTTGGAACAGGAACACAAACCCTCAAAATGACAGGAATTACTCTACTGAGCCTCCTAGAGACTTGGCCATCGTCGAACACCGTCAACGCCCTCGGGGCATTATGGTTTGGGCAGGAGTATGCGCCTCGGGCAAAACTTCCTTGATTTTTGTTGATAAAGGAGTAAAAATCAATAAAAAAGTGTACCAAAAGGACATTCTGGAAGCCGTAGTACTTCCTTGGTCCCGAGAACACTTCAAGAACACCAAATGGACGTTTCAACAGGACTCTGCTCCAGCCCATAAAGCCAAAACAACACAGGAGTGGTGTCGGACCCATTTTCCGGACTTTATCACCTCAGCTGAATGGCCTCCGTACTCCCCCGATTTCAACCCGATGGATTACAGTATTTGGTCGATATTGGAGGCAAGGGTGTGTTGTAGAAGACACCAAACTTTGGAGTCTTTGAAACAAGCATTGATCGAGGAGTGGGACAAACTTTCGCCTCAGGACCTGCGGCCCATCGGTGAAAATTTTGTGAAGCGTTTACGCCTCTGCGTAGCGGCAAAGGGGGGCCACTTCGAAACCTCTTGACTGTTATAACTAGTACTATATGTTACTATTGTTAGTTGTTGTTTTAAGTATGTTGATTGTTTTAATAAATGTATGACTAAAATAATGAGTCAACGGACTTTTGGTACACCCTGTACATGACATAAAATTGCAAGAACTTTCTTTACAAAACAAAAAATGACAAGAACTTTGTTGACAACACAAAAAATAGCAGAAACTTTCTTTACAGACCAAAAAACTGTATAAAAGGCGCGAAACGCGTCACAAAACGCACTCGAGAATAATACAAAAGTGACGAGTTGCCATGACGAACAAACAAGAAAATAAGGTTCAAAAGGCAAATTACAGTAAGTGAAACCCAAAGAACTTTTTTAAACTATAAATGAAAATGTCGTTATAGGTCAAAAAATGGCAAGAACTTTCTTTACAAAACATGAAATGGCAAGAACTTTCTTTACAGACTTTTAAATGGCAAGAACTTTCTTTACAAAACATGAAATAGCAAGAACTTTCTTTCCAGACTTTGAAATAGCGATAACTTTCTTTACAATACGAAAAATAGCAAGAACCTTCTGTAAAAGAGTAAAAATTACAAGAACTTTCTTTACAAAACATAAAATGGCAAGAACTTTCTTTACAAAACTGAAAAAATGGCAAGAACTTTCTTTACAAGCAAAGAAAAACGAAGTTGTTAAAAATCGACTGATAAACATAGTTTTTCTTTCAAAGTACAGTAGAGTTCCTGTAGAACGAAATTTTCTTTCAAGATGCATTTTTTATTAAAAAATGACACCTTTTTAGAATTTTTTAGACTTTTTTTAAAATCCCAAGAAAAAAGATAGAACATGCCCTGACCCAGTAATAACTCAAGTTTTCCCTCTCCAAAACGTGTGTTTTCCTCGAAAAAGCGTCTCGAACCCGCTTTTAATTTGATTCCCTCGGCGCTTTCTTCCTCAATATCGCGAAATCGGGCGAAATCCCCGCCATGCCTTCCTATGGTCAAAAAGAAAAAGAACCCCGCCATGCCCTTCTATGATCAAATGGAAAAGACCCCGCCATGCCCTCCTATGGTCAAGGAGAAAAAGAACCCGCCATGCCTTTCTATGGTCAAAGGGGACAGAAAAAAAAGGGTTTCGAGAGGGCAGGGGTTCAAGGACAAAACGCTTTTAGACTTACATTAAAAAATTAGGGTTATGTCGACATTTTTGGTTTAAAATAGCAAGAACTTTATTTACAAAACATAACATGGCAAGAACTTTGTTTACAAAACATAAAACGGCAAAAACTTTCTTTAAAAAATATAAAATGGCAAGAACTTTCTTTACGAGGTAAAATGTAACAAACGTAAGTTTATTTGTCTTTGACACCTGGCGCGACGGAAGAGGTAAAAAATTTTTTGGTAAAATACGTTTGTTGTCATCGGTCGAACAGAAACTTCTTTTACAAGGCGTAAAATGACAAAAACTTTATTTACAAAGGGGCCGGGCCTGAAAATCGGCCCGGCCCGTTTGCCATGTCTAGGTCAGACCCTGCTCGAGCCTTACAAAAAGTGTGTTTTAAAGAAGACATCCGCCCGATTCATAGAATCAAGCATTCCAAAATTTCATTTAGTCAGCCGCGCCGAAGCGAGCTGGATTAGTTACCAACCTTTTTTGGAACTAATTAGTCCGACGAGTGAAGAGATTTGTGTTCAAGTCATAAAAGAGAAACTTGTCTTTCGATTGGGTTGCGCGAAGCAGCGAGAGAGAAGAGGCAAAAATGAAGTGGAAGAGACACAAAGAAGGGCAAAAAAGAGCAAGTAAAGGCTTTTGAAGAATATATTATAATTGTATGGTTTTGTAAAATACGGGTTGGGATAGCAAATATAAGGCGTAAAAAGTTTCTTTACAAAAAAAATGGCAAGAATTTTCTTTACAAAACAAGAAACGACAGAATCTATCCTTACAAAGTAAAATATGGCAAGAACTTTTTTTACAAACCAAAAAATGGCAAGCACTTTCTTTACAAAACAAAAAATAACACAAACTTTCTTTCCAAAACAAGAAAATAGCAAAAAATTTCTTCAGAGAACAAAAAATGGCAAGAACTTTCTTTACAAAACAAAAATAGCAAAAACTTTCTTTACAAACTAAAAAATGGCAAGAACTTTCTTTACAAAACAAAATATGACAAACTTAAGTTTATTTGCCCTTGAGAGCCTCATGAATCAAGAAAGTGCACATTCAAATACCACGTCATAAAGAGCGCGAACAGATTAACAACAGTCGAATTTTATAAAACTGTTTCCGAGACGAAATGTGGACTGAATAACAAAAAAAGGTTATCAATGTCTTTTATTTGTACTTATGACTGGAAGAAGAACTAAGGTATTATTGAATATAAAAGTTATGGTTTGATTAAGAAAATTCCCCCCCCTTCTCTGGAGAAAATCCGTAGCGATGCCGCTGTTGGTATGTTATAAACTACACTGGAACTCCTGCATAAAGAATACCTCTATAACAAACTTCTGTATAACGAACTTTCCTATAACAAACTTCTGTATAACAAAACTCATTTGTAACAAACAACTTTAAAATCCATGAGCTATTCGTTATACATGAGTTTTTTTCCATTTTTAAAAAACTTTTAAAATTTTCATTTTTATTACTTTTTTCATATTTTTGTTTTGACATTTTACGTCATATAATATATCATTTTATTTGCCTTTCTACAAAAATTCCCAAATATACAAAGACTAAAAGATGTTATACATCTATAATATGCAATTTACATAAACATGAACAAATTTACAAATAATACAACAAGAATCTCTATTATCTTTGAGAAACTGAAATTTTAACTGATTATACCTATATTATGCACCTTGTAAAACTGAATATTTAATTTATAAAAATTTTCATTTTGTTTTTAAAATAAGCTGTCATAAATTGTCTGTATACAACCACAATGAATACTGTTAATGCGGTAAAAGTTTGTATTTTTGCTCTTATTTGTTTGCTTACTACAATAAACAGTGTTAGTGTAAGTTCAGCATTGTCGGAGCTATTATGATAACTTAATTTTAGGCAAAGAGAGCAAACGAACCAGTTCAAAATAACCTTGGAGATAGAGCAAACAATAATGAGGTGGTAAGAATTTATAAATGCTTACTGAAGCTGAATTCAATTTTAGCGTTACCCTAAACATACTGTAGCTTTTCCTTAATCCTAGCCTGGCCTGACCTTGGCTTTAATTTAGTTTCAGCTTCTGCCGACTTTAACTTTCTGCTGATCATAAAGCCATTTCCTATCCAAGTTATAAACTTTCCTACCTTAGCTCTACCCTGCCCTGTCTTTACTTTATCTCTACCCCAACTCTATCTTATCCTTGTATTAGCTTTACCCCAACCAGGGCCGGGCAGGGACTTTTGGTCTGAGGGCGGGAGTCGAAAAAATCGATACAGGTAGCTACCACAAGGGGACCAAAGTTAAATTTTTTCGAAAATGTTCTTGAACCCCCCCCGTCCCCTCCCCCTCAGCGCCCCCGGGCCCCCGGCCTTCACCCCAGCCTTTTCCTACCCCAGGACAGTTTTATTTAAATCTACTCTACTAGCTTACCTTCACTATAATGTACTGTTAGCTGTTCGTTATGCAAGAGCTCTACAGTATTTTGCATTTAGGATAACATTGAGGTTGTCTATGACAAACTGTACGCAGTTGTTCAAGATTTCGGCTTGAATTGGACAAGAGAAGATGTTAAAAAGATCAAACAATCCTTCGACAACTATGTAAGTTGAAAGCAAGTCATATAATGCTACTAATAAGTCCAAGAAAAGTTAGATTTAGCTATAAAATAAAGCTTTGCTTATAGGCGCTGAAGATGGCGCCAAATTATTATAATTTTATTGACATGTGTAATCGACAAATTAGATCCTTACCTGATAACGACTTACGCGGGGCCAAGTACTTTGATGTTTACTATTATACATCATCTTTTGTTGACTTCGTGGTACAGTATGCTCAACCAAACAGTCGAAATTTAATCTTTTTACAACATCAATTTTTAACTTTCACCATGCTAAATGTAAGTTTAAACAAAGATAACAGCCTCATAGTTACCGTAGATTAACAGCCTTGTACTTACCGTAGATTAAACGCATTAAAGTTACCGTAGTACAAGTTTTGTAACAGAAATTTTGGCGCATTCTGTAATTGTAGCATTTTCAAATCAATGGTTCCGACTGGAGACCAATGATAAAACAAACATTTGGCGTCGAAATCCCTGAGTTTAGCTTAAAATTTTGGAACGCCCATTACCAAGCCACCTTGTGCCCAAATCCTAACACGGCTTACGATTTATTACAAAGTTTTTATCTTTTAACGCATAATTTAGATGATGGTCTTAAAAAATGCTTCAGTGAGTTGGTTGATCTGATTGGCGATTTCGGTCTTAAAATTGTGTCTTAACTTTTGGTTGGTCTGTTGGTTGTCACCGACAAAAAAATTTTAATTTTTGTTATTTATAAATAACGTAAAATAAATTTTAATTTTTACATATTAAATTGGCTTTAATCATAGCTTAAGCTTTGGCCTTAGCCTTAACCCAAATACTGCACCATGCCATAAATCACCTTTTTTATTTTTTTAAAATAAAAATGCTTAAAAAATGTTTTTAAAATAGAATGTTTATACAATATACAGTATTTTTTACTTTTTGAAAATGTACTAATCTGGTCAAAAAGTGCTTGTAAAATCAAAATAAAAAGATTTTTTAAAATTAAAATTTTCAATTTTTTTGACCAAAATATCACAAAAAATGTACAATCAAATCTTTTGACATAGTAAATATTGTTAGAAAAGTATTATTTTATGACGTTTCATATCACCCGGTAACCATTGGACTAAAGAGAACATATCTTGGTATTACAATGTAAGTGCTGAGAGTTATTTTTAAATAAATTGACATTTAGACATGAATTATATCTTAGAATGACAAAAATAATATACAAAATTCATTTCTATATTAGATAAGTAAGAATTTGTTAATTAGAAAGTTAAAATTTTAATGTCTGCACCGTGCAGTCTTATTTGGTTGCACAGTGCAGCCTTTATTAATTGCACTGTGCAGCCTTTTATTACTTGCACTGTGCAGTCTTTTATTGATTGCACGGTGCAGTCAGTAATAAGCTGCATGGTGCAGTCTTTTATTGATTGCACGGTGCAGTCAGTAATAAGCTGCATGGTGCAATGTTTGTACAATGAAAAAATTTAAAAAATTTCGGAAGTAAAAAAAAGTTTAAAAATACCATATTTCTACAAACTCTGCTCATCGACCACACTAATAGCTCCAGTAGCATCTACAGCGCAGCTCCATATTAGCTGCTCCAGTTTATGGCCCCATTCAGCGTGGCTATCGCCACGATTGTAGAATTTGGTTTGAAGTTGCTTCCTCAGTGAACCTGCTGGACCCTAAAATTTGAAAATTAAATTTTTTTAACTTTAAAATAAAAAAAAATTTTTTAAAAAATTTTTTAAATTAAAAGTTTCAAAATTTTTAAAAACTATAGACTTACTGATAAAATAAAAAGCAAATCCTGCCGTTCTCCCTTCTTATTCGGATCAATACCAGTCGTATTCCACAAAGCTGTATATTCACCAGAGTCTGGAGCGTCCGGAATCAGCTCCAAATCAGATCCACCGCAGTGTAAATTACTGAAAATTGACAAAAATCATCTTTAAAATACCCTACCCTACCCTACCCTATCTAACTTAATACCTTGCTCTACATTGCGCTACCTATCCTACCTACTATACCATACCCTATTCTACTCGGCCCTACAGTAAACTTCTTGCTATCATTAATTAAGAAGTTAAATATTAAAAACGTCTTGAATTTTACACGTACATTTATTGTCGTCTTAAAATATAAAATTGACATGTAACTTAGTTACTGTTATGGGACATTACAATATAAATAATAAAAAATACAGACGGTTATAAAGACCTATCTAAAAACCCTAGTGCTAAAGACCAACTGGTCCATAGCTTCGAACTCTCACTCAACTGGTGATCAGAGGCATTTGAGCTAGAGCCTAAATTATAATCTTATCATATTTGCGCTGGCCTATTTGCATAGGCGGCACCTAACTCTACAGTACAAAAAATACAAAAAAGTTATACCCTGCCTTAAATTTTAAATTTTTACTATACCCCGCCCAAAAAATATGTCTTTTTAAATTTAGCCTTGTCTTTTCAAAGTTTTTACATTGCAAAAATGTTCCATATCCCTCTCCCCTTCACTAAAAAATAAAAATTTTTTTACCCCGCCCAACCAAAAAAAGTTCAAAAATAAAATAAATTTTAATGAAGACTTACTGAAAATCACCGCCAGGCTTCGCCTTGATATGTATTTTATACTTGGCATTTGAGAAAAGTTTCAGCGTTCTCTGTGACGTTCCGAAACGTTGTCCATCTTGTTTGAACACTACGTTTTCATTGTTCTCGGCGTTTCTGAAATTTAAAATTTAAAAAATTAAAAAAAAAAATAAAAAAAATTTAAAAAAAAACTAAAAAAATTTTAAAAATAAAAAAAAATTTTAAAAAATCAAAAAAAAATTAAAAAAATAATAAAAAATTTAAAATTGTAGTGCTATGTATTATCACATTATCAAAAACAAACTTACTTAAAGCTCAAAATCAGCTGAAATCCGCCGTTGCCTTTAGTCATCTCAATTAGTTAGATTTTTTCAAAAATGGCTATTTCTATCTAGTCTATATCTAAAAATAGCGAGAGAATATCATGTTTAAAACAAACAGTTTAAAGAACAAACAATTGGCCATTTGACCAAATTAAAACGAAAAAAGTTATATTGTTTGCTTGACATGCAATAATCGCGTAATTGGAGGTAACAACAGTGAGTAAAGAGCAATAAAACAAAGAAAAAAAAGTAGTAAAGTAGGTCTAGCTAGGCATGGCAAAGTAGAATAAAGTAGTGAAAAGTAAGGTAGAGCAAAGCCGAAGGATAGGGAAAGACAAAGCAGAGCAAGGTAAGGTAAGGTAGGGTAGAATAGGTAAGAAAGAGTAAGATAGGGTTGGGTAGGATAAGTTAATGTATGCAGGATTGGGTAGAGTAGGGTAAGGTAGGGTAAGGTAAGCTAGAATGGTTAAGAAAGGATACATTAAAGTAGATTTACGGCATTCTACAGGGTTGAACAGGCGAAGACAAGTCAAGAGTAGAAGAAGAGATAAGAACAGGGGATTTAAGGGTAGGACAAGACAGGGCGTGATAGGAAAGGTAGAATTACAGCTACGGTCAGGCTGCAGTAAAGTTGGGTAGGATACAAATATAATAGTATTAGGCAGGTGAGGTAGGGTAGGGTAGAGTAGAGTAGGGTTGAGTAGGGTGGGTAGGGTAGGGTAGGGTAGGGTAGGGTAGGGTAGGGTAGAGTAGGGTAGGGTAGGGTAGGGTACGGTACGGTACGGTACGGTACGGTACGGTACGGTACGGTACGGTAGAGTTGGGTAGGGTAGGGTAGAGTAGAGTAGAGTAGAGTAGGGTTGGGTAGGGTAGGGTAGGATAGGGTAGGGTAGGGTAGGGTAGGGTAGGGTAGGGTAGGGTAGGGTAGGGTAGGGTAGGGTAGGGTAGGTAGGACAAGACAGGGCGTGATAGGAAAGGTAGAATTACAGCTACGGTCAGGCTGCAGTAAAGTTGGGTAGGATACAAATATAATAGTATTAGGCAGGTGAGGTAGGGTAGGGTAGAGTAGAGTAGGGTTGAGTAGGGTAGGGTAGGGTAGGGTAGGGTAGGGTAGGGTAGGGTAGGGTAGGGTAGGGTAGGGTAGAGTAGGGTAGGGTAGGGTAGGGTAGGGTACGGTACGGTACGGTAGGGTAGAGTTGGGTAGGGTAGGGTAGAGTAGAGTAGAGTAGAGTAGGGTTGGGTAGGGTAGGGTAGGATAGGGTAGGGTAGGTAGGACAAGACAGGGCGTGATAGGAAAGGTAGAATTACAGCTACGGTCAGGCTGCAGTAAAGTTGGGTAGGATACAAATATAATAGTATTAGGCAGGTGAGGTAGGGTAGGGTAGAGTAGAGTAGGGTTGAGTAGGGTAGGGGTAGGGTAGGGTAGGGTAGGGTAGGGTAGGGTAGGGTAGAGTAGGGTAGGGTAGGGTAGGGTAGGGTACGGTACGGTACGGTACGGTACGGTAGGGTAGAGTTGGGTAGGGTAGGGTAGAGTAGAGTAGAGTAGGGTTGGGTAGGGTAGGGTAGGGTAGGGTAGGGTAGGGTAGGGTAGGGTAGGGTAGGGTAGGGTAGGGCAGGGTAGGGTAGAATAGGGTAGGGTAGGGTATGGTAGAGTTTTGTCTTTAAAATTTGCTATTATATCCATTTTTGTCCATAAAATACTAAATAAGTTATCTTTCTGGCTCAAAAACACCCAGTAAATCAAGTTTTACTGAGCCAAAACATAACTTTATAACCCCTCAAGCCATAAAACTTTAATTTCAAACCACAAAACATACACTTATGACCACAAAACTTCCTCAACCCTCATTCCAACCCCCAAATTCTTCATTTAAAACTTTCAAAACGTGAAAAATCGCGGTACAGGCACGAGGACATAATCCTCAAAGCTTTTTTCCTTTCTTTTTGGGCTTCAATTCAGGCGGAAGGCGGCCCGAAAAGTACTTCTTGACTTACCACGGCAACCGACAAATGAAACAAAATGTAAATTGAATGCCACCGAAATTAGTAATCCGAGTTTGAAGAAAGCTAGTTTATAAAAAGTGGCTGGTTTTTTTAAATTTAGATTTTTTTTGTGAATTGATCCTAATGGTTATTTTTGCAAAATTGAAGGAAAAAATGGCAGAATTGGAAACAAAATATCAAACTTCAAAGAAAAATGATAAAAAAAAATTTTAACCAAAAAAAGAGAAGTATCCATTAAAGAATGGCAAAAGTTTGAAGAAAAAAGTAAAAAAGTGGTTTAAAAAAAATTCTTTCAAAACACTTGAAAACAGATTAATAGCGGAAAAACATAAGCAAGTATAGACAATAAAAAGCTTGTACTGGCACAGTTATTAAACGTAACTTTAAATTAAGTATAAAAACAGTTATCTTAGACTTAGTAAACTTAAAATTTGAAGTTTTAATAGGCTTAGACTCAATATACGTTGACTAAAACAATAATAATAAGTTTGTAAGCATATCCTTTGAAACATAGGCTTTTAAACTTAGGCTCCTACCCTTAAGCTGCTCCGCTTACTTTCATAGCTTAGGCTTATAGGTTCGGGCTTCTAGGCTTTAAAACTTAAAAGACTTCAAAAATTTTAAATTTAATTTCTAAGCGTAGACTTTTATCCTCAGGTTTTCAAAATTGCCTTTAAAATTTTTTCTAAGTTTAGGTTTCTAGGCTCAGGCTTCTAGGCTTAGGCTTCTAAGCTTAGGCTTCTAAGCTTAGGCTTCTAGGCTTAGGCGTCTAGGCTTTTAGGCTTAGGTTTCTAGGCTTAGGTTTCTAGGCTTAGGTTTCTAGGCTTAGGCTTCTAGGCTTAGGCTTCTAGGCTTAGGCTTCTAGGCTCAGGCTTCTAGGCTTGGGCTTCAAGGCTTAGGCTTCTAGGCTTAGGCTTCTAGGCTTAAGCTTCTAGGCTTAGGTTTCTAGGCTTAGGCTTCTAGGCTTAGGCTTCTAGGCTTAGGCTTCTAGGCTTAGGCTTCTAGGCTTAGGCTTCTAAGCTTAGGCTTCTAGGCTTAGGCTTCTAGGCTTAGGCGTCTAGGCTTTTAGGCTTAGGTTTCTAGGCTTAGGTTTCTAGGCTTAGGTTTCTAGGCTTAGGCTTCTAGGCTTAGGCTTCTAGGCTTAGGCTTCTAGGCTTAGGCTTCTAGGCTCAGGCTTCTAGGCTTGGGCTTCAAGGCTTAGGCTTCTAGGCTTAGGCTTCTAGGCTTAAGCTTCTAGGCTTAGGTTTCTAGGCTTAGGCTTCTAGGCTTAGGCTTCTAGGCTTAGGCTTCTAGGCTTAGGTTTCTAGGCTTAGGCTTCTAGGTTTAGGTTTTTAGGTTTAGGCTTCTAAGCTTAGGCTTCTGAGCTTAGAATTCTAAACTAATCTTACAATTTTGTTATTTCTAAAAACACGTCACTTAAAATACCAAAAATGCCGTTTTTTAGAAACAAAAACATATTTTTATTGGCCAATTGAGACAAACCGGATGCGGTTTTGATTAATTAGACACATTTTTCTGTTTTTCGAATATTTTACTTTTTTCGAACAATAAAATTTTTCAAAACAAAGCAGAAAACGTTGACAATTACTTTTGACACAAAAACAAAAATAGAGCTTTTGAAATTTCAAAACTTGTTTAGAATTCTGTACGCTTTTTTCGAAATTTCGTTGGAATTTTAAACTGAAAAAACGAAATTTTAGGCCTTCAAACCCAGAGTTTTGCCTTTTGGGTCCGGTCCGGATTTTTAAATTTTGTTTTTCCCGCCAAACGCATATCTCGAAAACTATGATAGATATCAAAAAACTAACAGCATCTAGAAGGGTCAGCACCATTCCAAATAGGAGAGGAGTAGATAAAATTTTAGAACGATTCGACCGTTAGAAAAAAAGGAAAACAAAATTCAAATTCTAGACTCCTGCATTGGGTCTGGTCCGGTTTGGGAACAACTTTGTTCAAACCTTTAAAATAGGCTTAGAAATAGTTTAGACTGGGAGTAGAGGTTAAGCTAGAACTAGGATTACAGCTTGACTTATTTCTAGAATAATGCTGATGTATGATAGAGAATTCTATAGATAAAGGTAGAGTAAGACTAGAACAAGTTTAAGATAAAAGGTAGCGCTAAGTCTACATCGTCGTCTAAAGTACGATCTAAGACATGGGCTAGAGCATGGGTTAGAAAGGTGTGGCCAAGTCAATGCAAAGAAAAAGCTAGGGCTGGAGCTGATTCTTAGGCTATCGGGTAAAGCTTTATGCTAAGGCTCTGGGCTAGGGCTAGGGCTCTGGGCTAGGGCTCTGGGCTAGGGCTCTGGGCTAGGGCTCTGGGCTAGGGCTCTGGGCTAGGGCTCTGGGCTAGGGCTCTGGGCTAGGGCTCTGGGCTAGGGCTCTGGGCTAGGGCTCTGGGCTAGGGCTCTGGGCTAGGGCTCTGGGCTAGGGCTCTGGGCTAGGGCTCTGGGCTAGGGCTCTGGGCTAGGGCTCTGGGCTAGGGGCTCTGGGCTAGGGCTCTGGGCTAGGGCTCTGGGCTAGGGCTCTGGGCTAGGGCTCTGGGCTAGGGCTCTGGGCTAGGGCTCTGGGCTAGGGCTCTGGGCTAGGGCTCTGGGCTAGGGCTCTGGGCTAGGGCTCTGGGCTAGGGCTCTAGGCTAGGGCTCTGGGCTAGGGCTCTGGGCTAGGGCTATGGTATAATACAGCAAAATAAAAAAAAATTAAAAAAACAAAAAATGTCATATCTCATTTGACATCACTTCCCAAAAACGTTCCAGATAGTAATAACTAAAAGCATTTCGCAATAATTCCGCAGAGTATTTTCCCATATTTGGCGACAAAAAAGTACGAACAAAACGTTTTAAGCGGCCCACGGCCCCGCAACTCTCTGAGGCTGTACACTTCGCGTCGTTTTTATAATGTTAAAGAAGAGTTTTAAAATTGATAGTTTCTTATCGCGAAATTGAGTCAATGACGTACTAAAACCTACGTTTTTCGGCCGACAAATCGAAAAAAAATTGTTACAGTAACCAAAAAATAAAATAAATGGTTTGCTGCTTTTAAGCCCGGTTTGGGTCCGCTTAGCGTGGCGTGGCTTGGCTTGTCTTGCTTTGGCTTAGCTCGGCTTGGCTTGGCTTGGCTTGGCTTGGCTTGGCTTGCTTTTGCTTTGTCCTGGCCTTGCCCTAACCTGCCTTTACCCGGGCCTTGCCCTAGCCCAGCCCAGCTCAGCCCAGCCCAGCTCAGCTCAGCCCAGCCCAGACCAGCCCGGACCAGCCCAGCCCGGCCCAGTCCAGCCCAGCTTAGCCCAACCCATTCTAGTCAATTCTAGCCTAGTCCACTCCAGCCCTACCCTACCCTACCCTACCCTACCCTACCCTACAATACCTAATGCCAAAACAAATGCGACACTTGGACTCATGGTCCGTATTTACGGAAGTATTGAAGAAGAATTATCACCAGATTGGATATAGAATCTTATTTTTTATGCCCGTATTTACACATTTAGCGGTAGAGAATAACAAATTTTCAATGGATTTTGGGGCTACAGAAATTATATTAACTCGAGGGTGGAAACAAAGTTATTTTCGTGACGTATGACGTCATAAGTTCCAAAAACAAAAAAAGTCTAAGCCTAGAAGCATAAGCCTAGAAGCCTAAGCCTAGAAGCCTAAGCCTAGAAGCCTAGGTTTAAAAGCATAAGCCTAGAGGCCTAAGGCTAGAAGCCTAAGCCTAGAAGCCTAAGCCTAGAAGCCTAAGCCTAGAAGCTTAAGCCTAGAAGCATAAGCCTAGAAGCCTAAGCCTAGAAGCCTAAGCCTAGAAGCCTAGGTTTAAAAGCATAAGCCTAGAGGCCTAAGGCTAGAAGCCTAAGCCTAGAAGCCTAAGCCTAGAAGCCTAAGCCTAGAAGCTTAAGCCTAGAAGCCTAAGCCTAGAAGCCTAAGCCTAGAAGCCTAAGCCTAGAAGCCTAGGTTTAGAAGCATAAACCTAGAGGCCTAAGCCTAGAAGCCTAAGCCTAGAAGCCTAAGCCTAGAAGCCTAAGCCTAGAAGCCTAAGCCTAGAAGCCTAAACCTAGAAGCCTAAGCCTAGAAGCCTAAGCCTAGAAGCCTAAGCCTAGAAGCCTAAGCCTAGAAGCCTAAGCCTAGAAGCCTAAGCCTAGAAGCCTAAGCCTAGAAGCCTAAGCCTAGAAGCCTAAGCCTAGAAGCCTAAGCCTAGAAGCCTAAGCCTAGAAGCCTAAGCCTAGAAGCCTAAGCCTAGAAGCCTAAGCCTAGAAGCCTAAGCCTAGAAGCCTAAGCCTAGAAGCCTAAGCCTAGAAGCCTAAGCCTAGAAGCCTAAGCCTAGAAGCCTAAGCCTAGAAGCCTAAGCCTAGAAGCCTAAGCTTAGAAGCCTAAGCCTAGAAGCCTAAGCCTAGAAGCCTAAGCCTAGAAGCCTAAGCCTAGAAGCCTAAGCCTAGAAGCCTAAGCCTAGAAGCCTAAGCCTAGAAGCCTAAGCCTAGAAGCCTAAGCCTAGAAGCCTAAGCCTAGAAGCCTAAGCCTAGAAGCCTAAGCCTAGAAGCCTAAGCCTAGAAGCCTAAGCCTAGAAGCCTAAGCCTAGAAGCCTAAGCCTAGAAGCCTAAGCCTAGAAGCCTAAGCCTAGAAGCCTAAGCCTAGAAGCCTAAGCCTAGAAGCCTAAGCCTAGAAGCCTAAGCCTAGAAGCCTAAGCCTAGAAGCCTAAGCCTAGAAGCCTAAGCCTAAAAGCCTAAGCCTAAACTTAAAGATCTAGGCTTAGAACCCTCTCCTATAATCCTATAACAAAGAATAGTAACCTAAGTTTAAACAAAAGTTCATTTGTCATAAGCCTAGTAGTTAAGCCTCAAAATCTAAATTTAAAAAACTAAACTAATAAGCTTAGGATTAAGCCCACAAACCTAAGCCTGAACGTCAAATTCAACAATCCTACGACTAGAAAGCTAAGCCTAGAAGTCTAAGCCTAGACGTTTAAGCCTAGAAGCCTAAGCCTAGAAGCCTAAGCCTAGAAGCCTAAGCCTGGACGCCTCCGTCTAGAAAATGTCAAAGCCTAAAACAGAAATTTAAAAGCCAACATAAGCCTAAAAACCTAACTAAATTTGAACTTATATATGCTTATAAACCTAAAAAAACACTGCAACTTAACATGTTAAGCCTAAAATACCCATTTCATACCACATTCTAATCCGAAAAATTCTTCATTTCATCCCAAAATACGCCTAAATATTCCGAATCCAGCAACGTCAGCTACATGAATATCGTGCAAAAGTGCAGGCACACTTCTATTCCCGTAACATCTCATAAATTATGCAAATTTATTGGAAGAAGTATCGGATATTTATTTTTAAAACGCCAAAAAAGAGTCTTTTAAAAGACGGCACGGCCTTTCAAAAAAGACCCTCGTTCTCTGCCCCCCCCCCCCTTCTTCTCAAATTGTAATGCGATATAAACAACAAACACACGACAAAAGATTATCTACCCCCAGTCTTCAATGGCCGCTTCTGGAAAAGGCGGTACAATGGGACAATGGCAGACGGTCATAATGACATTTAAAATTTAATTTCTATTTTTATTATTACTGTATAGTAACAAATGTAACAATAAAAATTGTAAAAATGACAGAATATACGTTACCAAATTGTTGTAAATTCACGGAACCAAGCACGTTGTATACACAAGATATATCAACAGTCCTAGATTAAGCCAAATTTTAAGCCTAAGTTTTAAGTTAACCTTAAGCCTAAGCAAAAGCCTACACCAAAGCCAAAAGAGAAGCTTAAGCATAATTCTAATTCCTAGCCAATGCTTAATTCAAAGTCTAGTCTAATCCATACCTAACACACGCCTAACCTAATTTCTATTCTAAACCTCTGCCTAAAAGCCCAGGAAGGTTAAAGCTAAACCTAAGACAAAAGCTGAAGCTAAAAGTTAACCTAAATCTGCACCTGACCCTAAGCCTAAGCCTAAGCCTAAGCTTAAGCCTAAGACTAAGCCTATACCTAAGCCTAAGATTTAAAACGCTCAAGCTAAGACTAAAACTAATACTAAACCTGAGCCTAAACATCTGCCTAAACCTATTCTTAAGCCAAAGCCTAAACCCAAGCCCAATCTTCAACGCTTGTTCTAACTCTAAGCCTAACCCCAGCCTTACAATTAGTTAAGCTGTAAACCAAACCTAGGAAGTCTTGCCTTATCCCAAGCCTAACTTAAAACTAAGCTTAAAACTAAACAAAGCCTAAGCCTATTTTATAAGATAAAACTAAATCAAAGTCTTTTTCAAGTGACATCTCGAAAAAATATAATTAAATTCGAAAAAACGTTTTAACTCCCAAATAATGTGCACCATGCCCCTAAGATCAAGTATAATATTTATTCTCTGAATTCGCAATAAAATTTGATTATAATCCAACAATGAAAAAGTATAGTAAGACCTGGGTAATATACAGTAACTTTGTTATAATAGTATAAAAATCGATTATACAAAGAGGTAGACTATACATAAAATAGCCAAAAATTTTAAAAATTTGATCGAAAAACATGGACGTTACAAGTAAGATGAGCCAAACATGAAGGTGGAAAGAAAGTTTTTGTGGGTTTTTAAGTTGAGTTTTATAATTTTAAAATATACTAAGCCTAAGGTTAAATTTAAGCCCAAGTCTAAGCCTAGAGTTGAGTTTAAGCTTAAACCTAAGCTTAAGCCTAAGCCTAAGCGCAAATCTAAGCCTAAGCCAAACCCAAGCATAAGCCTAAGTTTAAGCCTAATCCTAAGCGCAAGTCTAAGCCTAAGCCTAAGCCTAAGCCTAAGCCTAAGCCTAAAAGCCAAAGCCTAAGAGCCTTATTTAGTGAAATAAATGTCATTTAAAGTTCAAAAATAACCAAAAAAACTCAATTTTGTTACCTAAAAACCTCTTAAAAAACATTTTCGAAAAATATGCAAAAACTTTCTTTACAACGCACAAAATTACAAAAAAATATAAAAATAAAGCCAAACTATTTCAAAATAATATACAATCACAGTAATTTTACTCGAATATCCAAGTAATTTGTATACAAAAAACATAATCTTTCACCTTTCTTTTATTTGAGAGCCTGGGCGCAAGTCAAAAAAATTGACTTTTAGGTTTTCTGCAGCCTGCGGACTGGATTTTCTAGGGCGCAGGCTTCTTTACCAAAAAAATGTGTAAAATTTTTAAAATTTTAACTAAAAATAACATCAAATTTTGAAAAATTTAAAAAAATTAAAAAATTTTAAAAAATTTAAATTTTTTTTGTCGGGCGCAGGCTGCCAAAATAAAAAAATCAGCAAATTTAAAAATTTTTTTAAATTTTAAAAAATATTTCAAAAAGACAAAAAAAATTACAAATTTAAAAAAAAAATTTTTTTTAAAAAGTTAAAAAAATACTTAAAAAAAAATTTTTTTTTCAAAAATTATAAAAAATTTTCAAAATTTAAAAAAAAATTGAATTTCATTTTCTAGGTAACAAAATAAAGTTATTTCATTTCCAACCGGTCCATTTCAGCGAAGAAGCCTCGTTTCAAATGGGTTATAATGTAGAATGCCAATCTTCTCCATACCTGGACTGCCTTTGCTCGTTTCGTGTCATCGATGGACTGGATTGAGTTGATTTGATCTGATAATGAGTGTTCCATGGCGTCCAAGAACAGATCCCAATATTCGGGTTTGAAGCCACGTTCTGCGAACTTAACGTGCCTTCGGCCAATGTCTGATAGATAGGGGGCAAGGTCGTTCATGTGATAGATGTTCTTCACGGTGTGGGAAATGGCCTGAAATTGAAAATTTTAACATAAAAATTTTAAGAGTACTGTAAATTGACTGTAAGGTAGAATAGGGCCGGACAAGGTAGGTGGGGGTAGAGCAGAGTAGGGGAAGATAAGGTAAGAATAAGGTAACGTAAGATGAGGTATAGCAAAGGTAGAGCAAGGACAGGGTAAAACAAGGTAAGAAAAAAGCAGAATAAGGGTAGGGCATACTACAGAAATAAGAATGGTACCGTAAGCTAGAATAAAAAAGAGTAAATTAGAGTAAGATACTGTAAGACTAAATAGAGTACTGTGATGCAAGGAAAGGTAAGGTGAGAAAAATTAAGAGAGGTCAAGGTACTGTAGAGTAGGCTATGATAAAGTAAGTTAAGGTAAGAGATGAGCGATAAGGTAGGGTAGAGCTGAGTACCGTAAAGCTGACTAGAGTCCATTTAGGCAACATAGGACAATGTATTATGAGTAAGATCAGAGTAGAGTTGAATAGAGCAAAGTAAAGTAAGATAAGATACTTTAAAACATGATAGTGTAAAGTAAGGTAGAGTAGGGTAGGGTACTGTAAAGCACAATAAAAAAGGGTAGGGTAGGGTACTGTAAAGCACAACAAAGTAGGGTAGGGTAAGGTAGGATAGGGTACGAAAGTGTAAAGTATGATAGGTTCCTTACTTGTACAAACTTCAATGCTTGTGCCCTGAATTCCTTGGATTCTTTATATTTCTCTCCATGTTGATGAATGGTCGGGAACAACTTCTTGGCCTCAGGGTTGTGGTTGAAGATATAAACATAGATACTTGACCCTAATTCATAAAGAAAACTGAAATCGTCACTCCATGTCTGTTTAATAATCTCTTTTTCTTCAGGGCTTGGCTCCCATTCCACGATTTTGTCCGAATCCATCGATCGGGTCCGGGTTGGACCGTTTTCCTAAAAATATATGAGATTTGGGGGGGGGGTGTTTTTCAAAATTTTTTAGCTAAAACGTTTTTTTTATAAAAAAAATTAAAAATAACCTCCTCGGATTAAAAATTAAATTTTTGAAAAAAATTATTTTGGGGGGGGTGTTTTTCAAATTTTTTTTTCAAAAAAAATTTTTTTTTCATTTAAATTTTTAAAAATGACCAGCCCGGTATAAAAATAATTTTTTTTTGAAAAAATATATTTCGGAGGGTGTTTTTTAAAAATTATTGATAAAAAAAATTTTTTTTTGAAAAGTATTTCCATGACCAAAAAAATTACCCCCACCCTGCCTAAAAAGCAATAAAAATGTAAAAAAACACCATTTTGTTACCTAAAAAACCTTCAAAATTATTAACAAAATGAACTTACAGCCCTCATATGGTTAAGATCCCCATTTGTGTGACCGTTCTGAACGGTGGGCGTCATGCCGTTGTTTGGTTTTGAGTCGGCTACTGGGTCAACGCTTCTGAAAACGATGAGATATTAAAAAACAAAATTAAATTTTAGTTTTTTTTTATTTTTTAAAATAAAAGTTTTAAAATTTTAAAAATTGCAAGAAATGAGTAATGCTTTTTAAATTTAAGACGCCCAAGAAAATTTTTTACCGCGCTATTAGAATATTTTACACTTTGTTACAACGTTTCACTTTAGAGTAAGGTAGAGTAGGGTAAAAATTTTTTTACACGCCGAAAAAAAATTTTTTTTTGAAAAATTGCTTTTCAAATCATTTTCACCCCCCCCTGCTAAAAACAATTCCACTCCCCACTAAAAAGATTTTTTACCACGCTCAAAAATTATGTTAGGGTAGGGAAGAACTCTTAAAACAATAGTAGAACAACAGCCGTTTACATTCAGTTGAGCGTGACAATATTAAGGTTGATAAAGGCTACAGACGGCATTAAAAATTTATTGCTGTTTTTTAGGCATAAAAATAGTGGCGAGAACGTTCAATTAAAATAACGCAGTATGTGAATGTCTGGCAAAAATGATAAGTATTTATACATTGCCCTACCCTACCCTACTTTACCTTACCCTACCCTACCCTACCCTACTCTACCCTACCCCTCCCTACCCTACCCTACCCTAACCTACCTTATTGAGCATTACAGTACCCTATCCTGCCCTGACTTATCTTGTCTTACACTATTATATCTTGTTTTACAGTACCCTATGTTACCCTTCGCCGCACTACTCAATCCTATTTTGACCTGCCTTGCATTACCTAGCATTCATGTACCCTATACTACCAACCCACCGCCTCTAGTATAACATCAAAACGTGTTTACAGTAGAACAAAAAATCACTGTTAAATGTAACACAAGGCATCAACTCTCATTCCTTTACTTCCACTTACCCCTTCCCGCTCCTTACGCTAGAAAATTAAATTCTACCCCCTCCCCCTTTAAAAAAATTAAATTCTACCCCCCCCCTTTAAAAAATTGAATTTAATCCCCTTCTCTCTCTTCTCTCTCCCCCAATTACAGAAATTCCATAGCTGGAGAACTAATTTATAGGTAACAGAAAGGTTCAAAAATCACGTTGCACGCCCAATTCCCATTAAGTTTAAAGCCATCTCGTGCGCGCAGCAGAGTACAAACCAGATTTTTTGACCACAAGCATGAACACTCACTATGACGGGCTTGGCATATTTAAAAACGGCAGACTGCAAAAAACCTAATAGAGTTAAACAGAGCTCCATTGAAACATAAAACAAAGTAAAAATTAGAAGAGAGCTTCGGAAATTAACCATTACGTCAAGTCACGTTATTAGCATTAGCCAGTAAACATTTATACCATTATAAACATGATGGTATCTTGGATAAGGCAACAACTTGCAATGTAAAAAAGAGATTCACTTCCACTTAGAAATGAAGGGTAAGATAATGAAAGGGAGCCAGCAACAAAAGAGTAGGGCATGATAAAAGTAGAGTAACAATAGGGTAGGTTATGACAAGGGTAGAGCAAAGAAAGAGTAGAACAGGGTAAAGTAGGGTATTGTAGGGTAGGTTATAGCAATAATAGAGCAAAGCAAGGGTATAGCAAAGAAAAGGTGAGACAAAACAAGAGTAGCACATGGTAAGGTAGGGTAAAGTAGGGTAAGACATGACTAAGGCAGTGTATGCAAAAAGAAAGATAAGAAAAGGATGAGGTATTGCAAGGGTAGGACAATAAAAAGCTAGAACAAGGAAAGGGTCCGTTATGACAGGAGTAAGACGGAAAATGGGTAGGGTAACAGTAGGGTAAAGCATCACAAGGTTAGACCAAAGTAACGATAAAACAAAAAAAGGCAGGGCATAAAAAGGCTAGGGCAGGAAAAAAGGTGGGACATGGCAAGGTTAGAACAAAGAAGGAGTATGGCAAGGGTAAGTCAGGAAAAGAAAAAAGTAATGGCAAGATAAAACATGCCAAGGATAGGATAAGAGGAAAGCAATAGTAAAGGCAAGGGTAAGGTAGGGTAGGGTAGGGTAGAAAAAGCAATATTAGGTCATTGACAGTAGGATATGGTAAAATAAGCTAGAGCAGAGCACGGTAGGGTACGGAAAGAAACAGCAGAGTATAGTAAGATAAGGTAAGGTAGTATAAGATAGAGTATGATAAGGTACAGTAAGGAACAGCAGGGTATGGTAAGGAAGGGTAGGATAGGGTGATGTTATAGGCTATGGTAAGGCATTGTAGGGTATAGTAGAGTAGGGTAGGGTAGGGTAGGGTAGGGTAGGGTAGGGTAGGGTAGGGTAGGGTAGGGTAGAGTAGGGTAGGGTAGAGTAGGGTAGGGTAGGATAAGATCAGGGTTCAAAAACCACTCCCTGCCCCCTTCTAAAACAATATGCTCAAAAACAACATGTTTTTGGATTCCGAACTTGAAGTGCTTTCTACATTGTTGCATCTCGAATTACTTCCGCCTAAACGCGCTTTTATATTATTTTTTGTGCCAAAAATTCGCTTTTTCACACTCAAAAAACGCCGAAGAAAAAAGTTTTAAGACATTCCACAAACTTTTTGTTTCGTCATTCTGAAGACTCAGAAGAACGTGAGAGAGAATGCTACGCTACGTACTTGGCAGACAGCACGTAGTGCTTGATATTAATAATAATTCTATAAAAAGATTCCTTTTTAGGTAATATTTATTACTTTAGTTAGAAGAAAACCAGGATCAAACAACGATATGGTAAGGGTATGGCAAGGGTAGGACAAGGCAGGGTAAGGGTAGGGAGACGCATAACAAGGGTAAGCATAACAAGAGTAAGGCATTGCAAAAGTAAGGCAAATTATAGGTAGGGTAAGGCATAGCAAGAGTAGGGCATGACAAAAAGAAGGCATATAAAGAGGCAAAGCAAGGCAAGGCCAGGGCAAGACCAGGGCAAGGCCAAGGCAAGGCCAAGGCAAGGCCAGGGCAAGGCCAGGGCAAGACCAGGGCAAGGCCAAGGCAAGGCCAAGGCAAGGCCAGGGCAAGGCCAGGGCAAAGCAAGGCAAGGCAAAAGAAAAAGATTTTTAAAGTAGTAAGCATTACAGTAGTAGACAAGTTAAAAATGATAAAACAAGGAGATAACAAAAATTGCAAAAAACGAATGTCTGTGTCAAAATCTTATCTCAATAAGTCATCAAATATTGTAAAAAATGCCACGTTTCCGATGGCAAAATCCTCAATTTAAAAAACAGAAAAAAAAACTTTTTTTTAGTTTTGCACCGTGCAAGCGTATTTAGATTGCACCGTGCAGTCAGTGGAAAATACACTGATTGCACCGTGCAAAAGAAACTGTTTTGCACTGTGCAGAAAAAATAGGATTTTAAAAGGAGTGTTAAACAAAATAATTTTGAAGTGAGTGTCAAAAGAGCATGATACAACGAAAAATTTCATAAGCAAAAAAAATTTAAAAGTTTTTTTTTTAATTTTAAAAAAATTTGAAAAAAATCTTTTATCTACCCTACCCTTCTCTGACTTTGCCATGCCCTGCTTTTACTATAACCTGCTCTACTTTATCTTCCCCTCCTCTGCCCTTGTCCTAAACTACTCTTTTCTTGCCTTCCCCTACGCTTTCTATGGCCTACTCTTGCCTTACCCTGCCTTACCTTCCCTTATAATTCCCATGCCCTACTTTTAAATAGCCCTTCTTTCGCCCTACCCTATCCTACTCTACCCCTAACTTCTCTACCCACACCCCCCCCTTCCTTACCAGCCAACTGCCAAAACTAGAACAATATCGGCCGAAACTTTTCAAAAAACAAAACGTTTTGTGGCTTTAAAGCCCCGAGGTCAGCAGACTGTAGAAAGACGATAAGATGCCCTGGGGACACTTCAGAACCCAAAATCTGTGGCAAATTGAAGGCACGAAAAGAACAGTGATGAACAACGTTCCCACGAGACATTCCACTGTTCTGGAACGGTGGCCGGTTCGCAAACCCCCTTCCTTCTGGATCTTTGACTCGTGCCAAGCCTTTTTTGCATCGAAAATGGCATTGTCAGTCTTTAAACAAGGGTTTTAAAAATTTGAGATTTGAAAACGAGTAGGGCAGGGTAGAGTAAAATAAGGTAGAATAAGATAGGGTAGGGTAGGACAGGGTAAGGTAAGATTAAACAGAGCAGAGCAGAAGAGCACACTGTCATATTGAAAAAATTTTTTTTTTAATTTTAGGTAACATAACAAACCAAAAATAATAAAAACACATTTTTTCCAATTAATTTTTATTAATTTTAGCAAAAATTTCAAAAATTTTAAAATTTTAAATTTTCAAAAAAATTAAATTTTCAAAAACATTATAAAGTTAAAACCTTGACTAAATGCCAATGCGTATCTAATTTCTTTTCAAAAACATTTTCAAAAACCTCAAATAAACCTTAATTTTCAACTAATTTTTTGCACCGTGCAAACTTATTTAAACTGCACAGTGCAGCTAGTAGAAAATACATTGATTGCACCGTGCAAAAAAAAATAGTTTTGCACTGTGCGGAAAAAATTGCTTTTGAAAAACGTTGACAAATAAAAAAATTGTAGAAATAAATGTCAAAAAAATCATGATACAATAAAAATTTTCATAAATTTCAAAAAATTTTTAAAATTTCAAAGAAAAAGTTTTTTTAAACTTAACCAAATTTCAAAAAATTTAAAACCTGAAGATTCCCAAAGCAAAATAGCGTAAAATAGACTTGTTTTTTCGGCCAGAAAATCTTTTTTTATTGTGGCCTTTATTTGTCTGCTTTATTGTTATCTGAACTAGCCTTTCACAAAAGAGGGAGGGGGGGGGGAGGGTTGTTTTGCCGTTCTATTACAATTTAAGAAGGCACGTGGGAAAATTAGAAATGCCATTGGTTTTTATAAAGCAAATCCAAACATTACAATAAAGTTTTCAAAATTAGCCCTATTAAGCCTAAAAATAAGCCTGAAATAATAAAATTTGAATTTAAAAAACTTTTTTTTCTTTAAAATTTGAGAATATTTGAAGTTAGCTTAAGAAAAATTAAGCCTAAACCCCCAATTTAAAGCTTATTTTCACTCAAAAATCATCAAAATTTCAAAACAAATTCAAAAATAATAACTGTCACTTAATGCCACAACTTTAACTAACATAATTTCTGTACTAACATAATTTTAAAACATAATTACATTGTGACACACCTAATTAAGACGCCTTTCCTGCCCCAGAATAGACCTTGGAAGTGGGTGTCTGTCGGTGAAAGTTTTGAGTTTTGAACCTCTTCCAAAACCGACAACTTCCGAAAAGTCCAAGTCATTAGGGAAACATGACAAAGAACAATATGCTACACTTATTTGAGCAAAAATGGCACGAGGTACTTTGAAAAATGGCAGAAAACGGCGGAAAATGACCAAAAATGGCTAGAAAAACACAATTTTTTCAATTTTTTTCACATTTTTTCCAATTTTATAAACAAAAAATGTACTGGAAAACAATATACTAGTCTTTGTGTAATTAAAATAGCTGTAAAAGTTTCAAAATTGGCATAAAACAGCCAAAAAAAATCAAAAAACACCAAAAATCGACCAAAAACCCCGCTTTTTTCAATTTTTTTTCATGTTTTCAATCCAAAAAAACCAAAAACAACGTCATGCCAAAATAAACCCCAGTCCAAACCCCACTTACCGATGCCCATTGATAAAGATTTTGACTTGATGTAACAGCTTGATCACCATGATTAGCTTACACCAACTGATATTCTATGATAATGTTTTTTTTGAATTTGATATTTCAACTGGTTATATGTCCTTAAAACAGCATGGTAAATAACATTAAACACCATAAATTGTCGCGGATAAGTTTAACAGTTAAAAAAAGACAATAAAGTTTGAAAAAGTTAATGCACCGTGCAAGGTTATTTGAATTGCACCGTGCAGTCAGTGGGAAATACATTGATAGCACGGTGCAGAAGAAAAGGGTTTGCACTGTGCGGAAAAAATAACTTTAAAAAATTTAAAAAATTAAAAAATAGTAGAAAATAGTGTCAGAAATATGAGGTACGATCAAAAATGTCAAAAATATCAAAAAAAAATTTTTTTTTAAATTTACCCCACCCTATCCTACCATACCCTACATTAGCCTGCTTTACCCTGTCCTACCCTATCCTTACCCTGGTCTTCCTTACCCTACTATAACTTTGCCATACCATTGTTTTATCCTACCCTACCCTTACCCTGTCCATATCATCATAGCCCTACTTAAGCCCGGCCTAAACCTTACACAATCCCTGTAAACACTAAAACACCTCCAAGCTCTGAAGCCAAGTTAAAGAAGCATGCCCGCCTTTATACGTGAATATTAAGGCGTAGACTTGCCCGAAGCCATTGAGTAAACATACGAAGCCTTTACATTTAAAAAGCCAAGTAATAAACCACAGTTTGCCAAAGATCGACTACCGTATAGGGTTAAACTCCCCGTTTCTTACAATTTTAATGTTTAGTAATGTTTATTACCTGAGGGTAAATGCTACAGATAATTAAACAAAAGTCAAAATTAGAAAGAAATGTTAATCCTATTGACAATACTATAAGATATTTAGTAAATTATAGTAATTTAAAATTTGTAGAGCTTCTATTATGTAGGTAACGTTGCAAAGACTTATACATTGAAGAAGGGAGGGGGGTTAACTTAATAATATGTTAAAGATTATAAAGATTATTGGCTTCTATAATATTTTGAAATTTCGAAACATTAGGTAACAAAACTGACTAAAAAACATAAAGAAAATTATTTTTAATTTTAAAAATTGATTTTAAGTTTTAAAACGATTTTTAATCAAAAACATTTTTAAAATTAAAAAAAAAATGTTACAGTACAGGGTGTAAACAGAACGAAAGATCAAAGGCGTATTTTACATTTAAAATTCTTCCTCAATAAACCACTTAAAACATCAAAAAATACTTTAATTTCAATTTTTTTATTTGCACGGTGCAAAATAATTTCGCCTGCACCGTGCAGTCAGTGGAAAATACACTGTATGCACCGTGCAAAAGAATTTTTTTTGCACAGTGCAAAAAATAATTTTAAAAAATTATAAAAATTGTTAAAATGAGTGCCAAAAGAATGTGAAGAAGATTAAAAATGTCATAAACCAAAAATTAAAAAAAAATTTTTTTTTTTTAAATTTTAACTTCTCAAAATTTTTTTAAAAATTGGGTTCAATAAGCTATTTAGACTCTTCTACAAAGCTCACATCACATACCCCTCAATAAAATCTAAAAAAAATTCCCCCGCCCCCTCCACTACCCCTACCCTTCCCTCCGCTACCTACCTCTTTTCTCCTCACGTACCTATGACAAAACAAATACTATGTAAAACTATTAGACTAAAATTCAAACCAAAAGTTGTTCCGAACACTTCCTTGGCTCTCATTCTCATATATAATCATATCACATTACAAAACGCCAAAGGGTCCTCTCGAACGCTCGTCATTTAACTCAAAAAACTGATGAATTGGCCGGTTCGGACGGCCGTTTTTGAAAAATATAGTAAGATAAATGAGTGAAAAAGGGCTGATATTAACATAAACAGATAGTAAAAGGTATTATATTGAGTAAAAAATTTTAAAAAGTATACAGTAAACCAAAAAATTATAGAATACATAAGATATGTAGCTCTATCGCCCCTAAAAATAATAAAAACAAAAATATAAACCTAGTAAAACACTAAATGACAAGCCTAAAGACCAAATATAATGAAAAAACAGCTACTGCTATCAATGAAAACTTCAAACTATTAGAAAAAAGAACCGTACTCAAAATAACATACCGCGTATCAAGCTAAATTATTAAAATGTTTTGAGTAATAACATGTCTGAATGCTTGTTTTTCAATTACTACTTACTTTAATATTTCAGCAAGTATCAACACAAAAACGATTTATGAAATACTAAAACCATGGTGCTAGTCTGAACCTTAGCCTACACATAAGCTCAAACTTATGTTCGAATCTAAGCCTACGCCTAAACTGAAACCTAAGCGTCTCTGAGCTTATAAAAAAGCCAATAACTAAGCCTAAACTAAGGCCGAAACCAAACCCGAACCTAATACTAAAACTGAGATAAAGCCTGAAGCTAAGACTTGAGTCCAAACTTAAGCCTAAGTTCAAGCCTAAACATAAACGTAAGACAGACCTTAAGTTTAATTGTGGGCATAAGCCCAAGCTTCAACCAAAACCTCAGAGTAAGCCTAAGCCTAAGACTAAGACTAAGCCTAAGCCTAAGCCTAAGCGTAAGCCTAAATTCCTAAGCAGTAGTTTAAACACAAACCCTATCCCTAACCTGTCATTTCTAAATTTTAAAAGTTCACTTTGAAGTTACCGTCAAACTGCATCAGTTTTCAATTTTATTGTAAACAACAAACTCATCAAGCCTATCGCATCATTTAGTTTTAGAAGTATTTTGCAATTCAAAAAGACTTGAAAGTATCTAAATTTCAATCCACAAAAACTAAGTTTAAAGTAAAATGAAATAAAATTCAAACTAAAACAAGAAAAAGTACAATTTATAAACAAAACTTATTGCACAGTGCAAATTCATTTCGATTGCACCGTGCAGTCAGTGGAAAATACACTGATTGCAAGGTGCAAAGGGAATTATTTTGCACTGTGCGATAAAAATAAGTTTAAAAATCGACAAAAATAAAAAATGATAAAAATAAGTGATAAAAAAATTGCGGTACAATTAAAAATGTCATTTTCACAAAAAAAATTTTTTTTCAAAAAAAAACTATTTTTTAAAAAAAAATTCTAAAAATCCACCCCAGCCAAAAAAATGCAATAAAACAGCACAAAATCTGGTAATTAACCACCCAAAGCAATAGAAACTTAGCCGTTCTAATAGCCCTTCTTCTTCCTGTTTCATACTCACTACTCCCCCCCCTCTCTTGTCCCTTCCCCCCCCTCTCTTATCCCTTCCCCCCCCTCTCTCTTATCCCTTCCCCCCCTCCTAGCATCACTTTCATTTCCACCCAATTCGCACTCACCCTTAAAGTTAAAAAAAAAAACAAAAGAACGAAGCTGAATGATTATCGGAACGTTGTATCCTAACGTGCCGTTCCGAGGAACGTCCAAAACAGGAACGACAATTCGAATTAAAACGACAGAAACTTTAAATACGTATCAGGAGGGGGGGATGCAAATAGAACGTCAAAAGTCACTTCCGCCTATTCAAATGAAAGTACTACGTATGGTCATGTCAACAGTCATGTTTACTCTGTATGGGCCGGGGTTTGAGGGCAAGTCGCAAAATTAAGGCAAGTTTATGGGTTTTAGGGGTAGGGGAAGGGGAATGGGGCTAAGGCCTTGTACTAAAGCCGGTAGGAAGTTAGCCAAAAAACTTATATTTATAGTACAAGTCAAGAAATACAACGTCAGATACAAATTTCTCAGAAAAACACTGTGTAAGACAACATATACTGTCTATCCCAATTCAGTTTGACAATTTATATGTCAGTCTAGACTAAAAACCTATATTTATTTATGTACTGTTAAAGATGACAAATTTAAATACCCTACCCTACCCTACCCTACCTTACCCTACCTCACCCTACCCTACCCTACCCTACCCTACCCAACCCTACCCTACCCAACCCTACCCTACCCTACCCTACCCTACCCTATTCTACCCTACCCTACCCTATGATATGCTATCCTGTTCTACCATGCTCAATCCTGCCTGCCCTACAGTACCCAACGAATGCAGATTTAGTCTGTCGTGCTTCACAATACAAAACCAGACTCACTCCTCAATGCCGTATCCACCCGTATTGTCCCCTACGCTATTCTTCTGTCCCCTGCTTTGCTCTGCCTTACCGTACCCTACCAGGCCAGATTTGCAATGCCCTAGCCTACCGTGTTCTATCATTTTCTATCTTATATCGCTCTATCCTATCCTACTTCACCATCCTAAACTCTTCCATTCCCTACCATACCCTATTATACCCTACCTTACCATAACCCATCCTAGCATTTAACCAGTCCCTATCCCAACCCTACCTTATCATAACCCACCCTAGCATTCCCCCCCATCCCAAACTTCACCCTCCTCCTACCCTCAGCTACGTACTCACAAAAACATCCACCGTTATACCCAAGATCTACCTAACACAACATGTTGTTGTTGTGGCCCATTTTAGAGTAGGGGAGTGAAACAAAACAACCGCAGACAATTATTTTGACAATTAATTCGGCCGCTATTTGATATTGTTTTCCTCGCCCCTTTTACGGTAAGAGACTTTGTTTCCAGGCCACAACACCCGCCCCCCCCTCTAATTAAAATAATGTTTCTCAAATTAATTTCCAGGAGACAACTACATGTCATATGTAGTTGTTTTTTGTGCAGTAAATGTGATATCAATGTAAAAAAAGAGTTTTATGACAAAATTAATTTTTTTAGCATCAAAAAATGCGTATTTTAAATATTAGCTACATTCGTTACACTCAAGCCTTAGAATTTGTGTTCGACTTATTTTTAAGCTTAGACTCAGGCTTAGTGGCAAGGTTAGTCCAAGGCTTCGACAGAAACTTAGGCTATAATTTAGCCATAGGCTGAGACTTAGGCTTGGATTGAAGCTTAGGCTTAAAATTAAACTTGTGGAAAGGCCTATGATTAAGCTTAAACTTTGGGTTTTTACAAAACTTAGCAGGGATATAAGCTTAAGCCTACTTTTAGCCTCGCCTTTAGCCTTAATGAGCTTAAGGCTGAGTCCCAACCTAAGCATAAAACTCAGCCTAAGCCTAAGCTTAAGCCTGAGCGTGAGCCTAAGTCTAAGACTAATCCTAAGCCTAAGCCTAAGCCTAAGCCTAAGCTTAAGCCTGAGCGTGAGCCTGAGTCTAAGACTAATCCTAAGCCTAAGCCTAAGCCTAAGCCTAAGCCTAAGCCTAAGCTTAAGCTTAAGCCTGAGCGTGAGCCTGAGTCTAAGACTAATCCTAAGCCAGAGCCTAAGCCTAAGCCTAAGCCTAATCCTGAGCCTTAGCCTAAGCCTTAGTCTAAGCCTAATCCTAAGCCTAATCCTAAGCCTAATCCTAAGCCTAATCCTAAACCTAAGCATGATCCTAGTATTACCCCAAGCCCTCTATCAGCCCTATTTTGAGTCCTAGACTCAGCCCAACCCCTAATTTAAAAAAATTTTAAAAAATAAAAAAAAAGTCATAACTTGCCTAAACCGGAAGAGAGGAATTGTCATTTTCAGGCGCAAAAACAAAAAAGCTAATTGTAAGGCAAAGTTCGTTTTATACGAACAATAACAATAATAAACCGTTTTTAAGAAATACCGCAAAATAGCGAAAATAGTTTTGGCGTGGGTAAAAACAAAGATCGCTGTAGATTTGAAAAATAGTCTGCCATTTTAAAATTTTTAAAACCAAAAACAAAAATTTTCAAATTTTAATACTTTTTGTTTTTCCCCCAATTGACCAGGCGTGAACAATTCGACTAGCCTAAACTTTTTAAAATTTGAAAAAAAGAATCTGCTAGCCCTACCCCGCCCTAAACTACTGTAACCTATGCTGCCACGCTGTGCACTGGCTTGACGCAACCTGGCTTGGCTGAAATCGACGTGGCTTGGCATGGCGTGACATGTTTTAGCTGGGCTTGGCTTAACTTGCTTTGGCTTGGCTTAATTTGGGTTGGCTTGGCTTGGCTTCGGCTGGGCTAGGCTGGGCTGGGCTTGGCTTGACTTGGCTTCTCTTTGCTAGGCAGGCGTGGCTTGATTTGGCCTTGCCCTGGCTTTGCTTTGGCTTTGCCTTGGCCTTGCCCTGACCTTGCCCTGGCCTTGCCCTGGCCTTGCTTTGCCTTGCCTTGCCTTGCCTTGCCTTGCCTTGCCTTGCCTTGCCTTGCCTTGCCTTGCCTTGCCCTCCCTACCCTACCTGCCTTATATTACCATGCCCTGCCCTATCCTCCTTTCCCTTTCCCCACCCTTCCCTATAAAAACATGTCATCTGCCGTTCCTTATCCTATATAAGATTAAGCACTAAATTTCTACATGAATAAACACAAAAAGGCCATCGGTCGTTCATTCCGAGCATTTCCGGCATTTTTAAATAGATTAAGAAAGTACAGTCAACAACAGAACTTGCAACAACAAATAAAGAGCCTTCGCTTTCGAAAAGGTCATTTTAGAAAAAGTAAGGAAGTTAAGATAGGGTGGAGCTGGAGGAACATAAAGTTAAATTAAAGTAGGTTTAAGCTAGAAAAAAATCGAGAATACGACGGAAAAGACTAAGCTTAAACCTCAGTATAAAAGTTAGCCACAGCAGAAGGACAAGCATACGCCTAAACCTCGTAATAAACTTATAGGTAAGCCTACGTCTAAAAGTAAGAATAAGTCTCAAACTAAGGCCTAGAGCACCCCTCAGTTTAAAGGTAAACCTAGTAAGTTTAGGCTTACAATTGTTAGCTTAATGTAAGACCAAGCCTAAACGCACAACTAAGTGTAAAGGTAAGCCTTATCAAACCAAGCTTAAATCTAAGCATACATCTAAATCTCAGAATAAGCCTAGGAAGAAGCTAATGCCTATAACTAAGCCGAAGCCTCAAACTAGGCCTAAGATGAGAAAAAGCCACAGATTAAGCCTAAGACTATGCTTAAGCCTAAGCCTAAGCCTAAGCCAAAGCCTAAGCCTAAGCCTAAGCCTAAGCCTAAGCCTAAACCTAAGCCTAAGCCTAAGGCTAAGCCTAAGCTTAAGCCTAAGCCTAAGCCTAAGCTTAAGCCTAAGCCTAAGCCTACGACTAAAACTAAGCCTAATTCTCAGCCAAAGACTAAGTCTAAGATTATGTATAAGACTAAGGCTAAGCCCAAGCCTAAACCCAAGCCGCAATCTAAGCCAAAGAAAAAGAAAGACTAAGCCTACGACGAAGACTCAGTCTAATTCTCAGCCAAAGACTAACAATAAGTGTAAGATTAAGTATGATCCTCAGACTAGTCCTGTTAATATCTATCCGATTGTCTCGAAGATTAAAAGTATCAAAAGGCTGCAAACGAACACGTTGTTGAGACATTACTTATTCATATTTTTTGGCCAATATTGTGTTTGCATTCATATTGGCCATACATCGTCACGCCATATAAGGCAAAGACAACAAAAACGAGACAAACAAGTTTATGTTTTAGTGAGGAGACATCAGAGATCCGTTTATTAGTCGTTGTGGACTACAAACTTGAAAGTAGGTATAATATAAAGAGTAAGCTTAAGCCTAAACCTAAGCCTAAAAAAAAGCATAAGCCTAAGCCTAAAACTAAACTTAAGCCTAAAGGTAAAACTAACCCTCAGAATAAGCCTAAAAGTTTAAACCCAAATTTAAACAAAACTTCAAAATTTTAAAGTAAAATTTCGAAAATAAAACTTCATAAAGTAAAAAATCCGGTAGTCCGTTAGTAAGGCTTATCATACATCCTCGTACTCACTCATGCCCAAAATTTAATAATTTTTTTTATTCGGCTTCCTATATCAAAGAACCTAGCAGGCTATTAGATTGATTGTCATAATTCTACTCTGCCCTACATTACTTGTCTTGCTTTGCCTTGCCCTTGCCTTGCCTTGCCTTGCTTTACCCTACCCTGCCCTGCCCTGCCCTGCCCTGCCCTGCCCTGCCCTGCCCTGCCCTACCCTACCCTACCCTACCCTATCCTGCCTTGCACTACCCTATTTTACTCTATCCTACTCTACCATATCTTACCTTGCCCTATACTATATTACTCTATGGCTTACAGGTACTTTTGCAAGTAAAATCTTTCGTTGCAAGACCTAAGCTAGGCTTCTGGAGCCTACATTAATACCCGAACCTCAAATCTACGCCAATCGGCCTGGCCCCTTTACAAGGTTTTTTAGTCCGGCCCAGCGCCAGATCAAGCCCCGTCAGTTTTTTTTTTCAGATCTATCCTATCCCACTCTATTCCTTCAGTACCACGTCCCAAGCCCAAATAAACCATAAAACATTTCCTTTTTTGAAAGTAAATAGATGTGCGCCTGTGTAAGTGCCCAGAATATCAAAATCCCACACTAATTTTGATATGCTAACCCTCTATATATTCAAAATCTAATCATTTTTGCTCATGAAATAGATTCAAGCTCCCACAGTGTGATGTTTATCCTTAATTTTAATACATTAGTAATCATTCCAACAGATGAAGAACCTACTATAATATCGTATGTATGAAGCTAGTATAACTATATGTATAAGGCTGGTAATATAACTATGCACAGCTTAGCGCAAATTTGTCGGAAACTCATTAAACTAGCCTGAAGATGTCGTGGGAGAAAACATACTATCTTAGCTTCAAATGTGATAATATGTATGTACATAAATTATTGTAAAATGTTTCCTACACATCTCTACGCTACCCTTCCATACTCTACTGATTCCAAAAAAAATATTTTTAGTACTACTTACTTATTTACTTATCATGACGTTAGTTGCTGATCGGAAGTGAAATTGCAAAAAAAAGTTCAAAGAAATAGTATTACAAAATAATTTGACCATCAGTCTGTTAACAGTAATCCTAGCCCATGACCTAAACCATGTCCTAGTCTTAGCACTAACTCTAACTCTGGCCCCAGCACTGGTTCTAGCCCCTACCAGAGACCTATTCCAGTCCTATTCGAATCATCAAAGCCGGGCGCGAGAAGAGGGGGGGAGGGGGGGGGGAGGAGGGGGAACGGAGGGTGAATACCCCTCCCCCAAAAAAAAAATTTCGTAAAAAGTTGAACGTGGTCTAGACATGGCAACCGGGCCGGACCGCGGGCCCGCGGCGGCCCGTTTTTTGAATTTTTTTTTCCCCGCGCTTTTTTCTTCTTATCAAATCGGTCTGAAACTTTTTCTACCCCTAGGTTTTAATGGGTGCTACCCCCTCCAAATGGTCTTAGAATTTTGATATCTATTATAGTTTTTGAGAAAACGACTTGGCGGAAAAAAAAATTAAAAAAACGGGCCGACGCGGGCCCACGGCCCGGCCCGATTGCCATGTCTAACGTGGTCCCCCTGTAAATTTTTGAAAAAAAATTTTGACCCCCGCCGCAAGACAAAAAGTCTCCGTCCGCCCCTAATTCCAGCTCTATCCAAATCATCAGAGCCGGGCGCGGAGGGGGGGGGGAGGAAGACGAAGGAACCCCCCCAAAAAAAGAATTCCGAAAAAAGTTGAACGTAGCCCCCCCCCTGTAAATTTTTGGAAAAAAAAATTTCGCAAAGAATCGGCACGGGTGCTGATTTTTTTTTGAACCCCGCCCCCAGACAAAAAGTCCCCGCCCGGCCCTGCTAACATCTATTATAAAAAGTAAAATAATATAATTTTTTTGTAAATTAAAGATAATGTAGCCCCATAGAAAAACTATTATTGAAAAAAAATATTTAAAAATCCAGAATCTGTACCCCTCCGCATTCAAAACTTCTAGGAATCCCTTATTAGACTATACGTTTCTTTTCTCTAATAAATTCATATCTCTTCCTGAAACTCATCCAATTCCTGTAATACACTATTTTCCTACTCTTTTGAATTCAGAAATGCATACAAACAACTCAATGATCTCCTCCGCATTCAGAACTCATAAACAATAGCCACTGCTGTCTACAATATATTACTACTGCAGCCTACAACAATATATTGTGAATCAATGTAGAGTCTACAATGATATACATACTGTGTATTAGAGTGAAGATATTTGTTTTACTTTTCAAAGACCAGAATCTTGGCCACCGCCATTATATAATGTTACGCAATGAGCACAGTAATACGTGTATCCGGAAACTAATCATAAGTGTGACAAAACAACAATTAAAATGTCTGGAGGAGTTGATGACTTTTGGTCAAAAAAATTCATAACAAAATACTCAAACCTACCCTACCCACACATACCGTACCCTGCTCAACCGTGTTTAACGTTAATCGAACACATGTTTCAACAGAACAACAAAATACAAAAGTTATGCCACAACAAATTCCAGAAATTCGAAAATTTAGCATGACTATATAGCAGCTGGAAAATATGTTTCTACAGTATCTTTTTCAACTTTTTTTTATGTAAATTCACCTGTCGTTACAAAAGATAAAACATCATTTTTACCCGCTCCCCTACGCTTTTTTCCTTTTTTTATACCATACTCCATCTACCCATACCTTACTCATGCTCTACACCACCCTGACAATGCCCTATCCTACCTTACCGTATCCTACCCTACCTTGCAAAAAATATGCCAGTACACCATAGTATCAAATAAAAACTACTGCAGTACCCCTTCAATATCTTGTGCTCCAAAAAAGTTATTCAAGCACGAATAGAATGGCTAATTAACAGTTTCAAGTTGAACATCTATTACATTACTCCAACTGCAGAAACAAAAATGTCACATTAATTAATTATACCGTGTTGAAACTCCCGTGTTACAGAGTAAACGCTGTACATTTTTAATTTCTTTCTATGAATTTGATGCTAAAATGAGTACGTTTCGTACTATACTTCGGCCCCTAACCCAGAGCCCTAGCCCAGAGCCCTAGCCCAGAGTCCTAGCCCTGTTAATAACCCAAGTCCTGCCCTACCATATATTGCTCTAACTCTAACGACAGTCCTAGAACTAGTCTCAAACCTAAACTTAGCCGTAGCCCAGAACCCTAGCTCAGAATCCTAGTCTTAGCCCTAATCCTAGCCCTAATCCAACCGATCCCTAGTATCAACCCAAGCGCTGCCTTACCCTAAACTGCCCTAGCTCTAACTATAGCCCTAGACCTAGTCCAGGCCCCAACCTGAGCCGTAGCTCTAGCCCAGAACCCTAATTGTAAGAATAGCCCTAGCCCTTCCCTATCATAACCTGCTCTAACTCTATCTATATACCTGGACCTAGTCCTGACCCTAACCTTAGCCGTAGCCCTAGCCCATGTACTAGCCCATGCCCTGGCCAATGTCCATACCTAATCTTAACCCAACCTTAGGTTACATATAAACCATTCTAACCTTCCTCTACCCAAAATATGCCGTTCCATGTCTCAGCCCTACCCTAGCAAAAATAATTTTTAAAAAACAAAATTTTTCGAATTTACTACGTCAGAACCCCCACATGGTTGCACAAAGTACAAATATGAGACATCTACTATATAATACTATAAGTAATGCAAATACTAATTTACTAATACCAATATTAACTTCCATTTTCACTTACAAAGCCATAAAACAAAGGATTTCAAAAGTTTGCACTAAAACGATCTATGTATTATGACAAATGTAATATACATAATTACGAATGAATGTGCACCCTATGTTAAACTTGTGAAATGTACCCAAATATACATTTATCTTACAATTATATTTCTATATACATGTGATACAATAGTAATATATGTTTACGTTTTGCAAAATTGTAGGGTAAAGCCAAGGAAACAGCTTTCTAAATATCTAATTATAATAGTTAAAAATCCAAAAATGGTAAAAAGGTTGCCCAACTAAAGTTTTAAGCCCAGCCCAAGCCCTAGTTTAACCTAGGCGTGAAAAACAAGCCGGACTCACTTATCAGGCTCGGCCCGGACCGAATTTTTTTCACGTGCAAACGACCCGAGCTTTTCAGGCCAAACCGGCATACATTTTCCAGGCAGACCCGTTACTCATGTCTAGCCCTAGCCCCAGACCATGCCATAGCACATGCCCTAGCCCATGTTCTAGTCCATACCCTAACCCATGTTCTAGTCCATACTCTAGCCCGTGTTCTAGTCCATTCTCTAGCCCATGCTCTAGTCCATACTCTAGCCCATGCTCTAGTCCATACTCTAGCCCATGTTCTAGTCCATACTCTAGCCCATGCTCTAGTCCATACTCTAGCCCATGCTCTAGTCCATACTCTAGCCCATGCTCTAGTCCATACTCTAGCCCATGCTCTAGTCCATTCTCTAGCCCATGCTCTAGTCCATACTCTAGCCCATGCTCTAGTCCATACTCTAGCCCATGCTCTAGTCCATACTCTAGCCCATGCTCTAGTCCATTCTCTAGCCCATGCTCTAGTCCATACTCTAGCCCATGCTCTAGTCCATACTCTAGCCCATGCTCTAGTCCATACTCTAGCCCATGCTCTAGTCCATACTCTAGCCCATGTTTTAGTCCATTCTCTAGCCCATGCTCTAGTCCATACTCTAGCCCATGCTCTAGTCCATACTCTAGCCCATGTTCTAGTCCATACTCTAGCTCATGCCAGTGCATTAGTCTATGTCCTAGGCCGCGTTCTAGTCCTAACAATAACAATAATCTAAGCCCTACTTCTACCCATCGTCCAAGCCCTAACCCTTTGATAACTAAAGTAAAAGTTCTTGAAATAGTAAAATATAAAGTGGTAGTAAAAAAAATGGCATGACATTGCAAAAACAGTAATTATTTACTAACATTGTAAGTTTGTACTTTCCAAACGTTACAATTTCTGAAATTTTAGTAGTTTTACCAATTGTTTTGCACCTTTTCGACAAATGAAGGGTTATTTTAAGACTATAATGTACTGCAATTTAAGGATGTAGTAAAATTAAACCTTATTTTAAAATCGTCTTTCATAATTTTTAAGTTTTAAATTAAATTTTAATAAAATTATTTTTTTCATTTTTTCCGATTAGTGTTTTTTGCGTATTTTACATCGAATATACCTCCAAATTAAAAAAAATTGAAATTTCAAAATTCGGGTAAATTTTAATTTTTTTTTGACCAAATCAGTGAAAAAACCATGCCGGCCTTTTTTCAAAATTAAGTTCCTTCCAACGCGTCCAACAACCTGGCCTAGTGAAGTCTCTTTACGTCTCCTAGGTCCACTCTTGACCCCTATATGACCAAATGCCCTACCCTAACTAACCCAATATTTTTCTTTAATTTTTTAAAATTTTATTTTAGGCTTAACTTTAAGTTTAAGAAAAAATTTTAGGTAAAAATTTAGACTCCCATGCCCATCAAATAAAAATATTTTTTGAAAAAATTTTTTAACATTTTGTAAATGAAAAAAGATAAACCTACCCGACTTTGGTGTTCTGAGCCCCGCCATTGAAGAGGTTGGCCATGAAACTGGCTGCTTGTCGCGCCACAGTCGGCATTTTGGCCAAGTATGAGCTCATGGAACAGCCGCTGAAAACAAAGACAAGTTAGTATGACACATTATGACGTTATATTTAAATTTCAAAATTTTTAAAATTTTAAAATTTCAAATTTTTGTTAAAAAACGTCTAAAAGCTTAAAATTATTTAGTTTCACAATATTTAGGTAACATCTTAAGTCTCCTCGTGTTTTAGAACGTATAACAATTAAAGTATTAGACAAAGATACATGTTATACCACCCATATTAATCCGAAAAGAAAGAATTTTTACATTTCTCAGCTTAAAATAGCAACGATATTACGTCGGAAACTACCCTACCCTTAAAATCTACGACAGCTCCTTCTATCCCACCCTATCCTACTTAGCCTATACTAACTTTAGTATCGCCTGTCCGTACCCCCACTCTACCTTATTTTATTCTACCCTATCTTAATCTATTCAACGCCCCCCCTCCTAAAAAAAATTTAGAAAAAAGTTGAACGTGGTCCCCCCTGTAGACTTCTCGAAAAAATTTTTTCGACCCCCGCCCCCATACCAAAAGTCCCCCCCCGCCCGCCCCTGTGTAAAAGTAACCCTCTTTATAGTAAACAAAACATGTGGCCCCGCCAAGTCAATTTGCACTAAAAAGCCTCTCTGTGAAGACAACACTCCTTATAGTAAACACAAAAAGCCGGTCCCTTGGCGTTGCTTATATCAAGAGACCATTGCAATTTTAAAAACAACAAAGCAAAGCAAGTAACAATAATGATTATATTTGTGAAGCCATGACATTTACGTCTTCCTGAATGTCTGCAAAATGAAAATAGTGCCAATTGTGACAACAAAAAGATTTATGACAAAAAAAGGAAGTTAAGTACCTAGCCCAAATGACTATGTGACCTCATTATCATAGAACAAATAATCTGTCAATTACCATGAAAAGGTCATTTTTTGAAATTAAAAAAAAAGTTTTAATTTTGTAAATGCGCTCGTTTATTCGCCCGTACACAAGTTTTACCGAATTCGCCCGTACGCAAGTTCGGTCCAATTCGGCCGTACATAAGTTTTACCAAATTCGGCCGTACATAAGTTAAAAGTGATCCAGATTTTGTCATAAAAAAGCCAAAAATAAAAAAAAACAAATTTGCAAGGCTAAATTGACCATAACTTAAAACCCTTTCCCTAAAATATTTTTTTTCAAAATTTCAAAAAATTTAAAAAAACTCCTCAAAACTCCCCAAACAAAACATAACTCAATTTCCTGGGTTGGGAGTTTAAAATCGAGTTAAAGCCGTTCGAAAAAATAAAATTTTAAGAAAAAAAAAGTTTAGACCAAAGGTTTTTTATACTGCCCTACTCTGCCCTACCCTACCCTACCCTACCCTACCCTACCCTACCCTACCCTACCCTACTCTACTCTACTCTACCCTGCCCTACTCTACCCGACCCTACACTACGCATCACTACCGTACCCTATCCTCCGACCCTACTGTACTACACCCTAACTTATTACATTCATCTACTCTACCCTCAAAACTTGCCCTGTCTTCAAATATTACCCTACCCTTTAAAACTTTATCCTACCCATAAATGCCTCCCATTAACAAAAAATGCCCTAAGAACTAAACAAAATGCCCTCAAGGCTTAAAGAATGGCCTAAAACCTCAAAAAAGCAAGGTTAAAGACTGTGGCCCATAAAAATAGCCATAAGTTCTGGCAAACTATTCTAATTTGGGGTGGAAGACGTGTTTCCAAAAGATGCCCGTTCTCTGTAGCCGAGTGCGTAATCGAAAAGCCGAGCGACGTTTTTCCGTGAAATTACTCTAACGACATTTCTTGGCCTAAACTTTCTCCGATATCACGTTTAAAACAGCCAAGAAATATCATTAAAAGTACAGACATTAAACCTACAACAACAATTGATATAGCATTGAAACTATTATTATTACAAAACACGTACTGCTTAAACTCAAGTTTTTTCATAGTGTTAGGCTTAAATTTAAACTTAAATTTAGTCCCTGACTAAGCTCAACCTTAATTTAAACTAAAACTTACTTTCAGAAATAAAAAAAACCTAAGCTTAAGCTTCGTTAAAACTTAAGTGTTTAATCAAACCTTAAGGCTAAACATAAATTTGTCGTCTACCCTTAGTAGCAGCCCTCAGCTTAAAGATAAACCTAAGGATATTTACAAACCTAAGCCTAAACGTGAGCAGCAACTAGAGCCTGAACATAAACTTGAGCTTGAGGTTAAGTCTGAGCCTAAGCCAAGAAGCCTAAGCCTAGAAACCTAAGTCTAAGCCTAAGCCTAAGCCTAAGCCTAAGCCTAAGTCTGAGTCTGAGCCTGAGCCTGAGCCTGAGCCTGAACCTAAGCCTAAGCTTAAGCCTACGTCCAAGCCAAAGCCCAAGCCCAAACCCATGCTTGACACTAAGATTAAGCTTAAGCCAAAGAGTAAAACAAAACCTAAGCCCAACCTTAAACCAAAACCTATAAATAAGCCTCACCTCTACAGCAATAGAGCAAAGCACAGTAACAAAAAATTCGAAATTTAACACTTGAAAACCGTAAAACAGGCTAAGCGCCGTTCTTACTATGTGCCAACAATTCGGACAAAATTTTATTTGCATTCACAATTCTCTCACGATAAACACGCTTTTGCTACCAGGAATGTTTGCTTCTGCTCCCACGTCAAAAAATATTGTAATATATACCAAGAAGCAACGGTTCACAGTGTAACAGAAACAGCGGCTCTAATTGGAAGATCCTGGGAATGGGATTAAGATTTAGTTTTAAAAACGTTTCTAATGTTGCCTGTCGTAATATACAAGACCAGGTAGGGAACTGAGCTAATAATGCAAAAAATTTTTTTTTGAAAACTGGCATAGGCAACTAGATACAACATTTTCAAAAGGAGCTTTAAGTAAAAACTTAAGCTTTTTAACTTTAAGACTTAAAAATTTGTGCTGAAGATTTAAGGCTTAGACTTTAAGTTAAGACCTAAGCCTAAAAGTAAAATTTCGTATCTCCCCAACCTAAGTCTCAACCTCAACCTAATCTTAATCTTAACTTTGCTCTAGAGCCTAGACCTTGCCGTAATTCTAAGCCCTAGCCTAAGCTCAAGTCTAAGCACCAGCCCCAGGCTAGTCATGTGTGAACCAAAGCCTAAACCAAGATCAAAATTTATGCTTTGACCTCCTAAACATAAGTGTATGCCTGTGAGAAAAAGAGGTCACTAACTTCCTCACCTCCGATCCTAGTAATATCTTTTATGTGTAGTGTTACCTAATTTTATAATTTTATGAACATATCCTTAGAGAAATTGCAAGAAATCGTATTGCGTAATTTTTTCTTGTGTAATTTTATGGTTTTATGTCATTTTTGCCTCGGTGTAAAACGACCCAACAAATTACTGTGAGTACGGCAATGTAACTCTCCGTTTTCGCGAGTACTAACCTAGAATCGTAAACCTCAACGTTTAAGCCTAAAAGCCATAGGCTAGAAAGTTATGTCTAGAAGCCTAAGCCTAGAAGCCTAAGCTTAGAAGTCTAAGCCTAAAAGTCTAAGCCTAGAAGCCTAAGCTTAGAAGTCTAAGCCTAAAAGTCTAAGCCTAGAAGCCTAAGCCTAGAAGCCTAAGCCTAGAAGCGTAAGTCTAAAGTGCGAGCCAAAATCACAAGCCTAAAAGCCTAAGCATAAACAGCTAAATTTAGATGTTTGAATCTAAATGCTTAAACCTAACATTAAAAACCTAAGCCTAGAAACCTAAGTCTAAGCCTACAAAGTAAAGCTTGAAAACATAAACCAGCTCTGAAGCCTATTGTATCAAAGAGAACGCGTTAGAAGTTAACCTACCCTAACCTTTACCCAAGCCTTCCCTTTTCCACCCAAGTCTACCCTAGCTTGCTATTTCTCTCTTCATGCTTTGCCCTAGCCAACTCCTTTCCATATCTAAATCCTTTTATTAATATACATATAACTCCCCAAAACCCAGACACCACAACGGTACTCCTCATATTCATGTTCCCACATTAAATCCCAAATTGAAAAAAAGCTGCCATTTTCACACATAAAAACGTGGAAGAAACATAAATTAGATTATTATTATCCACCAAGTTTGGTGCCGTTTAGGGATTCACTCGTGAAAAAAAGGGGA